TATATATATTATATAAAATAATGTTTATTTAGTTGGGACTGTTAATTAACTATAAAGCTAATAATATTTCCTAGTCACGAAGTTTTTTAACCGTTCAGTGGTTTCTGACCATAAAGGTTGTTCGGCCGTTCTGTCATTCCTTAAGTCATAATTATGAGTTTTTACCCCGGGACGAATTTCCATAATTTGGGTCAAAGGGTTGTAGGGTGAAACATCACGTCGCAGAGATTCGACGAATTTCTTGCAAGAGATGTCTCTACGAGTACTCAGATACTGTAAGTTTGAAATTTCAAGGGCTTCATCGTATAACAGATCTGGATAAGCTATTCTCAATGCTCTCTTTTGAACAGATTCGAGAATGTCAGATAATGATTTAGGTATTGACGACCATACAGGGGATGCATATTCAATTCTGGATCTGATGAATGAGATATATATTTGGACGATGTCAGATGCTTGGAGACCAGCCTTTTTAACAGACGCAATGCGTATAAGCGAGAATTTGCCTTTTTCAATACCATGTCGACATGAGTATTCCATGACAAGTCATTTGATATCCATACACCTAGGAGTTTGAAAGAGGACACAGTTTCCACCGGTTTACCTGCAACATAGATCGGGTTTTCATTATCAGATCCTTTATATTTAAGAAAGTTGATCAACATTTGTTTGCATTTCTTATAATTTAGTTCCATTCCACGTTCTAAGGCGTAGTCCGAGATTTCATTTACGACTAATGGCATTAAACTGGATGAAAAACGTGGTATAATCTCTAGGGCTGAGGTGTCATCCACAAACTTGATCCTACTGGGCCAGTTTTTAAGCAAGGAATTAATGAGAACAGCAAACAATAATGGACCCAACTTTGTACCTTGTGGCAAGCCACCATTTGTTTTCTTCCAAGAGGACATAGAAGTTCCCACCCGGACACATTGTTCGCGATCGCAGAGGAAGGCTTTAATCCACCGAATTAGAGAGGGATGGGTACCAAGCAGGGTTAATTCTTTAATAATAACATTGTGGTCTACTAGGTCAAAACCTTTCTTGAAATCTGCAAAGAACAATCTGGCAGTACAGGAACCTCTTTCAAGAGCAACCAAGATTGAATGTAAAAGGTAGACCAAAGCGTGGGTCGTTGATTTCTTTGGGAGTTCAAATTGTTTGGTGTCAAGTTTATTTACAACTTCAGGAAAAAAATTGTCCAAAGTACAATCCTCCATAACTTTGGCGATCTGAGATGTTAAAGATATTGGTCGTAGGTCGTCTTCAATACTCTTTGGGGGTGATACCTTAGGGACAGGCACTACAATAGATCTCTTCAATGCCTTTGGGAAGGTGCCTTGTGTCATGGATGAGTTGAAAATGTCTGAGAGAACTGGGGCAAGCTCAAAGGCAAATGTTTTCAGGATTTTATTTGGAAACATGTCAGGACCCGGTGATTTTGTGGTTTTAATTTTACTAAGTTTCATATAGATCTGTTGGGCGTCAACGAGGTAATGGTTTGGTACTTCTAGGCCCTCCTGGGTTTCGTCGAGAGTTAGAGGGTCAAAATGTGATGTAAGGGCAGTAAGAAAGTTATTAAAATTTTCGGCCAGTTCTTCGCAATTCCGAACATCATCAGAAAATAGCTGAGAATACCAAGAATTTTTTGACGAGAGACCACCAATGGCTTTCACTTCTTTCCACCATCTTGCCGGGTTAGAATTTTTTAATTTCTCAACTGACCCCATATAGTAGATCTTTCGTGCAGCTTTAATGCATGATTGGACTCTGTTACGCCAATATTTATAAATATCTGAATTTTTCCCGCTTTCGTGTAAGGCTTTTTGGCGTCTCCCAATAGCAGACTTTATTGATGACGTCATCCAAGGCTTATCACACTTTCGTACTTTAATCCGTTCCAAGGGAAAGAATTTTTCAATCATCACAGTCATTGTATCGTTAAACTTTTTATATTTTGTATCACAGTCATGTATGTCCAAGATAGGAGACCAGTCAAATGTAGTGATATATCGTCCAAAAGGCCGTATCCTGCTATCTCTGAGATCGCGTTTCCATATATGTGAATTGTCTGGCTTTGGGGGAGAAGGTTGGGCTTTCATAAGAATCGTATAATGATCACTGGTTCCAATGGGAGGAAGTTGGATTGATTCGTAAATATTATCCACCTTTGAGTTGGTTAAACACCAGTCTAAAGTTACATCAGCTCTGGTAGCTACCTTGACTATCTGCGTCAGACCAGCAATTCTTTTAAGATGGTTTGCATCGAGACCCGTGCTTCTAAAATTGAAGTCGCCCGTAATTCGGACCAAAGCTTCAGGGTGGAAATATAAAAATGAGTCCACATTGGTTTGAATGTGTGAATACAATTCTACATTTTCAGTTTGGCGGGATGCTGTTGAATGGTAAACAACAGCCAGTAAGATAACCGAGACAGAGCGGGGTAGCTTCTTTGGTCTCACTGATAACCACAGTGATTCAATCGAAGAGTTTTCAAATTCCCTAATTCGTCTACAATAGATATTGCTATTTATGTAGGCACAAACACCTCCGCCGTTTGAAACCAGTCTATCGTTCCTAAACAGATTGAAATTGGACAAGGATACCAAGTTGTCAGGAATTGCAGGAGATAACCAAGTCTCTGTAATGCAGACCATGTCCGTTTGGTTAAAAGACACCACAGCGTCAAGTTCGTCAACCTTGGACGTCAGGGAGCGGAGATTACAAATTAAAAGGTTTGGTATTTTGGTGGAGGGTAACGTAGACTCAAATTTTAAGCGTTCATTTGCGTGCACAACGCAATGTTGAATCTCAATGTTGAATCTCATTGTTGTTCAGACAATTGCATAATTTGATAATACACAATCTCGCTTGGGAAAAATGGTGGCCAGAAACAAAAATTTGCTGCAGGGCATCATCGGTTTGGCAGGGCAATTCTGGCATACACCCCCCGAATTAAAAGCGGTTATTTGTTTTGGCCCCTGTTTGCTATGCGAAGATATATTTCTTGTTTCTAATTTTTAATAATTGTAATATATATTACTGTAAGATTTATATTTCTGTAATTTACTTAGATGCATGAGTTGTCCAGAGAGGCATAATTAAAATTATCTTATCTTATCTTATCTTAGAGTTAGTAAATATAAGTTCTGAAAGTATACAGGTTTGAGTTGGTAAGTTTCTTCGTCAGGATACAGTTCTAAAATGGATATTACTTATACTTATATTTACTAACTCGAAGATTATAGACAGATCTGATCATTTGTCCTTATTGCTATTTAAGGAAGCACTTGCCGTTAGACGCCTTAAACCTGAACTTAATTAATCACGGAGCTATAAGGCATCAAAAGAACTTGTAATATTTTATAACTAATTATCAAATTACTTAATCTTCACTATATATATATATATATATATATATATATATATATATATATATATATATATATATATATATATATATATATATATATATATATATATATATATATATTTATATATATATATATATATATATATATATATAGACAAGTATCGAGTTTGCAATCATATGTGAGTAGAGTGCTCAATACCGTAGTAGAGCTGATAAGATTAGAAGACAAACTTGAATTACTTCATATGAACTTTATTTCACTACAAATTTGTTTCGTATGACAAGACGAGTCTTGCCACACTCATCAGGTGAATTTAAATAACGCGCTATATAAATAAACAAAACAAAACCTTCAAAACCTTTTTGAGAGCCAAAAACCGTCTAAGAACGTCTAAAAGAGCGGAGCAAAGTCGCCGACGTTAATGAAGGTAAGTTTGTTTTTAATATAATATATACTGTTTCCTTTATAATTGCTTTAAAAACTGAAACGATGGTTGCGTATATATATAAAAATAAATAAAAATATATAATAATAAAAATATATAATAAAAATAAATATATATATTTTTGTATATTAATATATTTAAATAAAGAGGAAAGCAAAGTTATTTTCATGCAAGAATTTGAAATTCAGTTTATTTCAATTTTCAAACTCAATGTTTGTAAAATACAGTTCAGTTTTACACAAGCCCATTTTAAAACGCTTTGCGAAGCGTTTCTGGTTGAATTTTACATTAAATTGAAGCTTATATATATTACGTATAATAACATATCTAGCATATATATGTTTGGGAAATTGATCATTTTGTAATTAAATGTGATATTTTGGGGGAATTTTTCAATTTTAAAACTATTCTTAAAATTATCGTGTTACCATGATAACACTTCATGTTTGGAAAACATAATGCTTTTGTCAGCAAGGCAAGGGTTTCTGCATGCATGTATTTTCTAGTATCCAAATTTGTTTGGAAATCAACCAATTTACTAAGTTAGTACATAATTGCAAAATATCCATTACTGGGGACCTATACAGGGTGTATAAAAAAAAACTGAACAGATTTAAAATTGCTCTCAATTTTGCAAAACAGCTATTTGTAGCTGGTTTTTTATATATATAGCTTCCTTGGGTACTTATAATGTAAAATAATGAAAAAAATTTCTCGAACTTAAATTTTGTGAACCAGGGGGGTGTGTCTTTTCCAACAAAATAAAAATGGCTCGCGCACAAAATTTAAAAGCTGCAATCATATTTTGAGATAACAGATGAAAAATTTGTCGGGATTTTAATTACTGTACACAATTTCAGACAATTTGGTTTAGTTTAAGCCCCTTGACTATTCACGCAAAGTTACAATTTTCCCGAAAAATCAGCTATTTGCATGCTTAATTAATGCATTTGCCTAATTTGCATATGTCAGCAATATGCAAATTAGGTAAAGGCATTAATTAAGCATGCGAAAGGCTGACTTTTTAGAACAAAATGAATAGTTAAAGGGCTTAAACTAAACCAAATTGTCTGAAATTTTGTACAGTAATTAAAAACCCGACAAATTTTCAATCTATTAACTCAAAATATGATTACAGCTTTTAAATTTTGTGCGCGAGCCATTTTTAGTTTGTTGGAAAAGACACACCCCCCTGGCTCACAAAATTTGAGATCGAGAATTTTTTTTCAATATTTTACATTATAAGTAGCCAAAGAAGCTATATATATAAAAAAACAGATGCAAATAGGTGTTTTGCGAAATTGAGAGCAATTTCAAATCTGTTCAGTGTTTTTTTATACACCCTGTATATATATATATATATATATATATATATATATATATATATATATATATATATATATATATATATATATATATATATATTAAGTATACTTTATAACTATACGTCAGTTAGTCGATAGTGCAATCTGATGGCGATTTAATATAAGCTACATTTGCAATATATTTCGCTAATTTGCGATTATTTTCTAATTTTACTGCAGTTTTAATTTAAATTCAGCCGTTTAGTGGGCCGGCTATATTAAATTGTAGTTGTGATCGTTATAAAATATATCAACAACTCACAATAGTATAATCTAATTAGCACCAGCCAATCAAATGACAGATTTAAAAAATCGTTTGTCTAATCGGCCAATCAGACGAAAAAGCCAGAATCTGGCTTTTTACATGCGCCGCGGTAAAGAATTGTATCAGGCCCTCCTTCATTCGCCGCCACCAATTAATCCTGGCGAATGAAAACATAAGGGCCTGATACTCAGGTTAGATTAACACTAGTCTAATAACTGCCAAGTATTGTAGTGGTTGCATGTTAATTAATTACTCGCTGGGGCACCCTGTGCCCCAGACGAGTATAGGTTTCGGCTCACATTTGTGGTGGATCTCCAATCGTCGATAGCCACAAAATAGAATATTAATGAGCTTCCTAATTTTCCCCCAAATATCCATAAGGCTCCTGCCAATTTTACCCAAATTATCCATAAATAGCCCTCCATTTTGAGGAAAATTCGGGAAAATTGAACAATTTTACAAGGAATTTCGCATGGAAACAGCAACCTTCGCAATCGCATGTAAGCAAGTTTATAAAAGTTTATACGTTTGACTGGGCTGCTTTATATTTTGAGAAGAAAGCAACACCGTTCGATTCAGCGTAAGAAATTGTACTTACGAATGTCAAGGGTATTACTAAACACCCGTATTCTAGCGATTTATGGCCTTTGAAAATGAAGCGAAATTGTATTGTTGAAAAATCGCTCGCAGTACGTATTTGTTGATCACAAATCACTCGCCGACTACGTTTGTCCACAGGTTTGTCCTTGCATTTGTAATGCCTAATGGCGCAATAGGGATAAAAATACCACCATACGATTCAGCGTACGTAAGAAATTGTACTTACGGATGTCAAATGGGTTACTAAGCACCAGTATTCTAGGGATTTATGGCCTTTGAAAATGAAGCGAAATTGTATTGTTGAAAAATTGCTCGCAGTACGTTTCATAGTGTTTTGTAATGCCTAATGGCGCAATAGGGATAAAAATACCACCATACGATTCAGCGTACGTAAGAAATTGTACTTACGGATGTCAAATGGGTTACTAAGCACCAGTATTCTAGGGATTTATGGCCTTTGAAAATGAAGCGAAATTGTATTGTTGAAGAAATTGTACTAATTACGAATGTCAAATGTATTACTAAACAACAGTGTTCTAGCGATTTATGGCCTTTGTCTTTGAAAGTCAAGCAAAATTGCATGTAATGTTGCCAATCGCTCAATATTATTAAACTAATTATAAAAAAATGCAGTACGTTTGACCCTTGATAACTTTGGCATCATTGGTTTTCTCTTTTTCGGCCATATACCAGTGGATTCGTCTCACTCCTCGGTTCATTTTGATAGTATTTTGAGCCCAAAAGCCCCCAAATATTTTATTTTGAACGTTTTTATTAAAGCGCAGTTTAATCCTACACCAACTGGCGGCTGACAGTTTTGAAGAATGTAGCGTACTAAATATAACTTTACTTGTAGGGCCTATACCGCATTTTAGTACTGTGTTATTAAGCCTTTCGCGCTCGTATTCGACTTTTCCGCTTAGCTCGGGGAAAACCTGAAATCTCAATTGAAAGAGCTGTCTACTGCATGTATCATGTACATTGTACAGTAATGTGCGTAGTTGTATAGCCCCAGCGAGTTAACGCTCCACAGAGCGTCTTGTTAATTATTCTTATGAACTTTTATTAATATAGGCTTTTTAGAATAGAATTAAAATACAAAAAAATACTGTACCGACTCCCACGTTGACGAAAAAGTGTTTCGTCACCAAACGGCACCATCTTATCAGAAGCACAGCGGCACTTCGCTGGTATTTCTTGGCCAGCATTCTCAAACTTGGTTCTTCCAGTTTCTGTCCGTTAGCAAGCGGGGAATATGCTTGAATTACGATATTGTTTTCGTCAATCCAAATGATTAATAAAGAGAATACTACTGAATATATATATTCTATCATTGCATCAATTCAAGTGGTGGATCACTCTTTAAAGGCAGACGTTTGCTTAAAACTGTCGGATGCAACCTGCTTACATGCATTTACTGTGTAAATCACCAACTCACCTGTGTTGTTGTAGGTGAGTTGTGTGCCGCTTGAACTCGAGTTGTAAGCAGGTTGCATGCGACAGTTTTAGGCAAACCATAGTCTTACAAAACACGGTTTGGAAGCTCCGCAAAAGTCTTTGTTCTATCTTTTTGTTCGCGTTTATGCAGTTTTGTGCACGGTCAGTGAGATAAACCAAAGATAAACCAAAAAAATATATTTTCGATTTTTAGAATGACATTAGTAATTATTCTTTGGGTATTTGGAACTTTTTCGGCATATAGGCCTTATTGTCCCCCCCCCCTGGTGAAAAATCCAGCGTTCGAAAAAATGACCGACATGGACCGCCTAAATATTGCAGTCCTTTCTAAGTCAACTATCTTAAAATGAAGAGACTTGAAAATTGCAAAGGGTTTTGGAAATGACAAAGTTACAAAAAAGTTTTATACATGTAAATGTATCAACATTGCACAGCACAGACACAGTCACAGAAAACATGCAGTAAACATCCTAAACATGCATGTGTTCCAAGCTGTTCAGTTCCCAGCTGTCCCTGTATTAAGGAAGTTAACAATACCACATGTTCCTGTGGTTTGTGGGAGGAAAGTGAAAGTTCTCAGGCTCTTGGTCCTCTGGAGAGATTGTGGCTTCCTGAACTCCTCCTGACCAATTAAGATTCGTCAATTGCCAGAAGCGGGAATCTCCCACTTTTCGTTGAGGCAAAATTGAAAGTTCTGGAACAAATCCGTTCACATAGAAACCGTTTGATTGGGGTGCAATATTTTCCTCTTATAATATTACCTACGTTAAGCTGTTTTAGAAATTGTGAGGATCTTTGTGTACAGTGGGAGTTTATATGATGGCTCTTGACCATTCCATCGTCATTAACACAGTCACTTTTTAACTGCTGAAACAACTTATAGTTTAAGGTATGACATTTCCCCAGTCTTAAATTGAACTATTTCGCATGCAGTTAGCTCCAGTGGCTAAGTCAACTCAAATGACTTAATTGGTCATGCATGCTAAATGTTTGGAGCCACGGAGGTAAAAAGCCATTGAACCCAAATAGAATTCTATTGTTACCTGCAGGGAGGTAAATACACGATACAATTTTTGTTATTAAATTGTCTAGAGATTTTTACTATGAAAAGGTGCCGATTTTAATGGCGAATTCAATTGTGTTCTCCAATTTTCCATGATTTCTGTAGTACAGGATAATAAGTGTTTTCTGAAAATTCCCGTATGAAGACTCGATTCATGGGATACTTGAAGGGCTAATATCTTCGCCCGGTTTGTGATTGAAAAAGGGAAACTAGGGTGTCTTATATAGAATTTAAAGTAGACTAGAATGTTGCTTTCAAAATTTCCATTTCACGTGCACACAAAACTGTGCTCACCATACGGCACGACCCTAATTTTCGGAATATCGCGTTTTATTGCGAATATCTCCGTTCGGTTTTTGAATGAAAACGGCAAACTAGGGCTGTTTATACAGAATTTCATGCAGAATGGAATGGTGGTTTCGGAATTTTCATCTATTGTGTACACACGTACATGATCACTATACGAAAGTAAATTTGCGTGCCATACAGAGATTGACACCTGTATTCTAAAAGCTCACTCACATGCACTCACAGGTGATCAATCTGAGCTTCCCTTGAGTGTCAATTATGCAGTTTTTGAATAGCTGGAGAGTTAATGTCGTACCTTACTATGTGACTACTCATTCAAGGGGAGCTCAGATTGAACTTCCTCTCTCTGCGTGTGAGCTTTTAGATTACAGGCGTATGTGTCGATTAATGCATACAAATCACTACTGTGAAAAATATCGCTACGCGAAATGTTGTTATTTTGTATTTTCGGCCAGTTTATTTTGCTTTATATGATATCAAAAGCTAAAATAAAATGAATATGATCATTTAAGATTTAAAAGCATCAAAGTGTATTTATTGTGATTTTTGCTGTTGTAAGTAATTAAACGAGGATTTTAGTCATGCGAATCGAAAATGGCATGACCAAACCATTCTGAACGGCCATAGCGCTCCACATCTTCTTCAAATTCACAACAACTAAACGGCGTTAATGACGAGAAAAGATTAAAATCTGCTTTATACATTCAAGAAGGCGAATTATTTTGGAAGGGAGGCTATAATGACCTACAGGTATTGATTAAAAGAGACCTCAATCTGAGTGGGAAATGGCTTTCATCCGGCGGGGAGTCTAAAGAGTTTATTCATCGCGATTTTGTTTTGAAATGGCAAGGGAAATCAAAACAACGATTAATTGTGGTGAAAGATGACCAAGAGAGCTATCTTACAAATGAGCTAAAACTCTATGCCAGCGAAATGGACGACGAAAATACTTGTTTTGACAGCGAAGCGAGCGAAGATGAACTGGTCGAACACGTGGTCGCGGAAATTATCGATCAAGATAAAAATAATACATCCTGCCAAAATAAAGATCATAATCAGGTAGACTAAAATAAAATAATGACTATGATATCTGAAATAAAAGAAACACACGAGAAAGAAATGCAAAATGCTATTGTGCAAGTGGCTAAATCCGAAGCGGCTAATAAAGCTTTAGTTGAAGGACAATCCAAGATGGCGGACGAAATACGAAAATTGAAATCAACCGTGGAAGAACTTGAAAATGAGAACAAATGTATAAAAATGGTACTGGATATCAAGCAAGACGAATGGCAAAAGGTCCAAACGAAAAAGGCCTCAAGTCTAAAAAAGAATGGACAGAAATTTAAAATTTCTGTGCAAAATAGCTACACAGGACTTGAAATTGAAGACAGTCAATTTACAAGTTTCCCAGAGATTGTAGAAATCGACGAGCAAACAAAGAGGCCGAGTCGAAAGTGCGAGAACTATACTTCGAACCATAAGGCTAATCATTCGAAAATCAGCCCGGGAAATGCTGCAACAAAACCCCAAGATCCAGCAAAGACAAATGAAAAAGTAACCCTTGTCATTGGTGACTCAATGGTAAAAAACATTAATAGCAAGAAGATTGAAAGGGCTACTGGACACAGGTCGGTCTGTCACTCATACAGTGGAGCCAGAGTGAAACAGATAGAAGAGAAGATAAAGAATGATGGTGATGGACAATATGATAGTGTCATCCTTCATGTGTTTGGTATACTGTTATTTCAAATGTTCTTAATGCTAACAAAGTGGCAAAGGATATGGATGATCTTATCAATGAGGTGAAAACCCACACAAAGAAGATTGCTGTCTCTAATGTCATTATGAGGTATGATGGTAGAGTCCATTCCAATAAAATAGAACAGTATAACAAATTATTAGAAAACTTATGTCTTAAGCATAATGTTACCCTCATAAAAAACAATAACATAGATGAGTCTCGACTAAATGGCTCAAAACTGCACCTAAACCGATTTGGTGATATAGCACTTGGCAGTGCTTTCTGCTCTTATCTGAGATCACTTAGAGTTAGAGCTAGAACCCCTGGTACTCTGCAGGGTTCTGTAGATAGTAGGAATGACCATTTTTTATCCAAAGTTTATGGTCATCGGGCCAGAGAGTGGACAATTCACCTGAACCGTGTCAGGCGAATGATGACATGATACCTAGTGTAGGTAATTCTAATAATGTAAGCAGCGATTTTCACACCTGTCTCAGCTCTATCCCTAAAGAAAGAGGCTTTAAAATGGCTTTTCTAAATGTTGTTAGCTTACCCAAAAAAATTGATGAAATAAGATATTCAATGTCAAGCAAGAACATTGACTTAATTGCTTTCAATGAGACTCGACTTGATTCAAGTATAAGTGATAATATACTTCACTTGAATGATTATGATATAATTAGGAAAGACAGATCAAGAAATGGGGGTGGAGTATGTATCTACTTGCGTAGCTCCATAAACTACAACATAAGGAATGATCTGATTCCCACTGAACTAGAGGCTGTTTGCATAGAAATTATCAAACCACATTGCAAACCATTTCTAGTCACAACAGTCTATAGACCACCCAATGCATCAGCAGATTTCTTTGAGCATTTTGAAAACTTAATCAAAACTTTCGATGATGAAAATAAAGAATTCTATATTCTTGGTGATTTAAATTGTGATATGTTAAAGACAGGTAATGAAAATATGCCGATAAAGAAAATTAAATCTTTATATGAATTGTATCAATTGTCACAATTAATTCAGGAAGCTACCCGAGTAACTATGACAACCTCCACCCTTATTGACCACATAATTACTAATACTCCAGAAAAAATTTCTGATTCTGGTGTTATCCATACTGGAATAAGTGACCATAGCTTAGTTTTTGCAATTAGAAAGATCTCTATTATTAAGAAACTAGAAAACACAATTGAAATTAGAAATATGAAGAAATTTGATACCCAAAAATTTGTTGAGGATCTGATGCAACAACAGTGGGAAAATGTGTATTTTTTCGCTGAAACTCCAAATGCAAAGTGGGAAATTTGGAAAATGCTATTCTTAGAAGTTTTAGACAAACATGCACCCCTTCAAAACAAAAAGATCAGAACAAGACGAGTCCCTTGGATTACAAGTTCCATAAAAGAACTTATTAATACAAGGGACAAGCTTAAAAGAAAAGCCATTATTACGAACCTCGAAAATGATTGGTTAAGTTATCAAAGAACTAGGAATAAAGTAAATATAGAACTAAGAAATGCCAAAAAAGATTACTATTCCACGAAAATTGCTGGTGATAAGTCCAATCCTAAGAAAGCTTGGAACACCATAAACAGTTTATTGGGAAGGCAAAACAAACCAACAATTGTAAATGAACTAAGACTTGGTGAAAATAGTTTAACTAACCCTAAAGATATTGCAGTGGGTTTTAATGATTATTTTTCAAATATTGGCCCAAATTTAGCTAGCCAAATTAATACTTCAAATTTGAACTTTGAAACATATGTCAAAAATACTGAATCAGAATTTACCGCATTCCAACCTGTCACGGTCAATCACGTCTACCAACTTCTGACTGGTCTCTCAAGCAACAAAGCCACAGGTGTCGACAAAATTTCTTGCAAAATTATTAAGATTGCTTCACCTGCTATCTCAGATTCACTAACACATATTTTTAATCAGGCCATTACTCTGTCCTCATTCCCAGATGAATGGAAAATGGCTAGAGTAATACCTCTGTACAAAAATGGCCAACGTAATGTGGCAGGAAATTACAGACCAATTTCTGTCCTGCCAGCCATTAGCAAAATTATGGAAAAAATTCTGTATAATCAACTGTACAGTTACTTATCCAAATTTAGACTTTTAAGTGATAGCCAATTTGGTTTTCGAAAATTTCATTCTACGGCTACTGCATTATTAGATTGTACAAATGACTGGTATGTGAATTTAGACAGAAAAATTTTTAACCTGGTTGTCCTAATTGACTTAAAAAAAGCATTTGATACAGTCGACCATCAAATTTTATTGAGGAAATTAGAGCTGTATGGTATAAAAGGCCAGGCACTATCTTTTCTCAATTCATATCTCTCAAATCGAAGTCAGAAATGCCAAATAAATGGATTTTTGTCATCGGAGAAAGTGATTAGATGTGGTGTGCCACAGGGCTCTATTTTAGGGCCATTATTCTTTTTATTGTACATCAATGATTTGCCCCAATGTCTATCAAAAACAAAACCTCGGTTATTTGCTGATGACACAAACCTGACAGCTTCTGGCGACTCGATAACTCGTCTTGAAGCTGCAGTGAATTCTGATTTAGAAAACCTAAAAATGGCTAATTGCCAATAAACTTAGCCTCAATGTTGCAAAAACTGAATTTATGTTAATTGGCTCAAAACAAATGATTAAAAGCGTTTCAAATTTGCAGCCAAATGTGGTAATTGAAAACAAACAGATTAAACAAGTGCATGAGTGCAAAACTCTTGGTGTGACAGTCGACCAGCATTTGTCGTGGAAAAGTAACACTGAAAATATTTGCAGGAAAATAACATCAGGAATTTCTGCTCTTAGACGTTTAAAGGATTTTGTTGACAGGCAAACGCTTCTTTCTGTTTATAATGCTATTGTTCGCCCGTACTTCGATTACTGCTGTGAAGTATGGGATGTGTTCGGTGAAACACAATCAAAACGACTTCAAAAACTCCAAAATAGAGCTGCTCGAATTATCATGAATATGAGCAATGACACAGATCATTCTGTAGCATTGCAAGCATTGGGCTGGAAGACACTTAAAGTAGAAAGGAAGAAAGCCAAGGCAAAAATGATGTATAAATTATTAAATAACATGGGCCCTCAATCACTCACTAACTTATTCACTTATAAAAGTGAGATGACTAGCTATAATCTTCGAAACGTTTCAAGTACTCTTTATTTACCGCAACCGCGGACTAATAATTTGAAAAAAAGTTTTATGTACGATGGATCATTCCTTTGGAATTCTATTCCAAAGGAAATTAAAGAGAGCAAATCTCTTTCTTCTTTTCGGACGAAAATCGCTGCTCACATTGATAATTAAAGCAAATATATGCATCTGTAAATACATTATTATCTCATATACTTAATATATTTTATACTATGTTTTCTATTTTGTAAATAGCTTTTAAATACTTTTCATATTTGCTGTATACTTCTTGTTCACACGCCCCTCGTGGAAATCAGCTGTAGTTGACGAGGTTAGCGTGGTTAAATAAATCTACCTATCTATCTATCTAGGATCAACCAAAGGCTTTGTTTACAAAACCGGCTTGAAACCAGAATTTCAGTATGAACTTTTGAACTTCGCAAAGAACTTGCAATTTTTGGACTTCTTAGTAAAATATGTTCCCCTGATCACCCCACCCAATCTTTTAATTCCTAAGAGATTGGTTGCAATTCACCTATAACGTAGCAGCTTGAAGAATAACGGTATACTAGAATGCGCTGAAGGGAGTACAATTTATTGTCGCCATTGTCTCAGAGTAAAAATGCTATAATTGCTAATGAGCTCGTCTTCATTGACGTTGCCGTTCAGTTTCCCAAATTCGCTAATATGATAAAATATACGACCAGAAGTGGTTTATATGGCTTGAAACACGACTACCCTAGAGTCCACCCCTTCATAGCCCCCTGCCCCACACCACCTCTTTGGCGGCCCTCCATCTCCACAGGAAAAAAATAACTTTCCATTGATGGATTTTTGAATGTAGAAGCTGCCCTCTTACCTGTGGTAAATTAGTAAAAACCATGATTTAAAGTTTGTTCGTTAACTGCAACCAGGTATATCAATCATGTTTCGCTCGCTACTCTGGTTTAAATAAATGATTACAAAGCCCAGTCGAATTGTAATCAAGACCCAACGTTTCGACACTCCAATCTAGTGTCTTCATCAGGAGTGATCTAAAGTTACAATCGTGGCTTCTTAAATACCCAAGGGATGACGTCACCTGCCAATGAAATGCATGTATTCCTCTGGCAAATAGGCACCGTCATCCCTATTCAAAGCATGATTGCTCATATTTATATGCCACGCTTCTAGGCAAAGTCTTTGACCATAGCGATTGTTTGTGGTAATTACTTTAGAGTTTTCCCACGCAATCTCGTGTTTGGTGTCACACACATGCTCTGCTAAAGCTGATTTTCCCTTGTCTAAAGTCGAAACAGCCTTTTGATGTTCTTTTAGTCGTGTACCAAACTGGTGTTTAGACTGACCCAAATACTCTTTCTCGCAGTCACCGCATGGTATAGTATATACAGCATGAGTTTTCTGATTCGACTGGGCTTTGTAATCATTTATATTTAAACCAGAGTAGCGAGCGAAACATGAAAAACCATGATGTTTAATATTTACGTTATTTTCTTCCTGGGCACAAGAAAATACCATTAATGATAAATATGAAACATCATGTTTTTACCAATTTACCATATGGGAAATAATGGTATGAGTTCGGTTTTTACATTGATAGTATATATGGTAAATCTTTAGAAACCAGTCAGAAGCCCATTAATGGCAATTTCAAATTTTTCCTGTGCTCGCCAGATCTCAAAATTGATTATCTGTTTGTAGTTCCTAGCATGGCTCCAGTGATATTGAATATCTCGTCTCCAAGCTCTACATCACTAGATTTATCATGGACTACGATCAACGATCTATACTGGCATGGTATCCAACAAGGCTACTGCGTGAGATATGTTGCCAGAGGCTCTCCAGTTAGTGATATTCACTACGTAACTAATGTCGCTCAACTGGAAACCGTTGTTACGAACTTGAATCATTTTACAAAATATTATGTCTTTGTTTCTGCCAAGACAACACCCGGCTGTGGAGCTGAAGCTAGCACAAGTTTTGTCACCTTGGAACATGGTAAGAAAACATATTTTGTTATACAGTAGAAGCTAGAAGAGGACACTCTCGGAACCGAGTCATAATGTCTGTTTAGGGAAGATGTCTGCTTATGAGGGGTACACTATAGATTTTTGCCTTTCTTCATCCATAGCCTATCGAAGGGAAGATGGCTGTGACCAAAGGTCGCGGGTTCGATTCTCACCGTGGTCAGGCAAACTTTTCAGCTTGCCCGGTGTGGATGCACACTCAGAGTAACACCGCAAACATAATATAACTCATCATCTATGTTAGTCAACGTTTATTCATAAATCTGGTCCTTTACTGTCACGTGTGTATTGTATTTTTGCCCAACTAACCAATAGCAATGTTTTAGGAAAGTTACCTATCCGTGACTCGAACGAGCAATAGGAAAATTGGAAATTGCTATTGGTGGATTTGGCAAAAAAATCAATACACACGTGACGGTGAAGGACCAGATTTATGAATAAACGTTGACTAACATAGATAATGAGTTATATTGTTATTCTAATGAGTTTCACAGCCATCTTCCCTTTGATAGGCTATGCTTCATTCTACTAGTCTTTATATTCAACACCAAACAGTGGCCCCTGTCCGATCAACAATTGGGGATGGGAGTAGAAAGTTGTGAACGGACAGTGGTAGTATCTTGCGCGCATCTACTCATGAATCTAATATAAAGCTCTATGTGACTTACGCCCGTATTCTAAAAGCTCACTCACACTCAATGAGTGGAGGTTCATCTGAGCTTCTCTTGAACGTCAATGCTGCTTTTGAATAGCTGGAGGGGTAGTGCCATACGTTACTATGTGACTGCTCACCCTCCAGCTATTCAAAAACAGCATTGACACTCAAGAGAAGCTTAGATTGAACCTCCACTGAGTGAGTGTGAGTGAGCTTTTAGAATACGGGCGTATATCTCCCACTGAATGAATTGTCAAGTATTCTGAAATCAACTTTTGACACTTCTCTCCAAGTGCCTCCACCAAAATGCAGGAAATGCCATTTTTGAGACTCAAAAATTTTTTTTCCGGGCGAGTATACCCCAGGACCCCCAGAATTGTGACTTCCAGTTGCAAAAACTAGACGGATAATAAATCGTCAAATCTTTGAAAATGGTTTGCGCTGTGGAAACTGAAGCGTTAGACAAAAATAATTCAATTTGCAAATATTTATACGAGAACAACATGAACAAACAAAAAATGAACAAACCTGGATTCAAACCATTTAACGATTATTTCAATTTCCCGCAGTTCCAAGCGAGCCTCCACAGAATGTGAATGCAACTAGCCTGACGTCATCAGTTGGCATTTTGGTCACGTGGGATGAAGTGAGACCTGAGGCGAGACATGGGGTTATACGTGGATACAAGGTTTCATACGAGAAAGCAGGTGGGGTGGTAAAGTGGAAAAACGTGGATGGAGGTGACAGTCGAGAAGTGAACATCACAGGATTGCAGTTTCTTACTGAGTATAAAGTCAAGGTGTTGGCCTATACCAGCGTGGGAGATGGTCCTGAATCTGCTGAAATATCCGTTACTACTGATGAATCAAGTAAGTATTTTTCTTAATGTTTAATTGTCGTTTTCAAGTTCCACGCTCAATATTCCAAATTTAGAAACGTAATTAGGAATATTCATGGGAATTGCGCTTTGAAAAGTTAGCTGAAATCGACAATAATAGTTCATTTTCTTGAAGAGGCTAAAATGAATAATAGTTGGAGGGTTTTGTAGATGGAAATTATTGAGTGGAAATTCTATATACATTTATTGCACCTAACTAGGAACAGCTGCGAAAAAATGCAACTTTAGGGCCCTGGCAGGAATCGAGCCTGCGACCCTGCGATTCCGGTGCAGCGCTCTAACCAACTGAGCTACAGACGCCAGCTGTAGAGCTCTAACCACAAGTTCATGTATATATTCAACTATTATTCAATCGAGTGAGATGCCAACAAAATCTTGTTAAAATGAATTATGCCGGAAAATACAACATATAAACCATCTTTAATCAATACCTAGTAACGATTATTCAACTGTTGAGCATTTTTAACTTTAATGAGCTTACTTCAGCCCGGTTAGCTGGATTAACTCGCTACATTGTAATCGTAATCTGGCCAAGAGGCTGGATTTTGGTGGAAATAGTGGGGAAGTTGGAAAAATGTTTAGGGGAGGTGCAGCAGTCTAGCTGACGACCCCCATGGAATGTTAGGGCTTAGAACGGCCAAAGTCAACGGCGTGACGTATGCATGTAGTGTACATATGTATCAGTGTATTAATGAAGGATGACTGTACAACTCATCCAATTTTGCCCTTCATTACAATTACTACGAAGTTTCTTTCAAAACATTGCATTAAAAGGGTTCTTGACACAGAGAAGAATGGCTATCACTGTTTCAATTTTACAGAAAAACTTTCTTACGAAGTGTGGACCCTAAGCAACCAAAAAAGTCAAATTTTCACTTTGTATATCTGTTTTCATTGAAACTTTCCCAAAGGAAAGATGCATGATTTTTCAGGGGAGGTGCAAAAATTCTCAGGCGAGGCGCAAAACGATCTCAGGGGAGGTGCACACGTCCTCTCAAAATCCAGCTATGAATCTGACAGTCAACTCGTTTAGCCAGGGTCAATCAATCAATTTATTTACGACACAACATTACCTTACAAGATTCCCTTACATATACTAACTCGTATACTATAATAACATTGGTCCCATTTTACAAACCATTATTTGTTGAATTATATTTTTAAAAAACATTGTTGCGCAGAAGATTGAGCAGTGAAAAAGCTCGAGAGAACTTGAACAAGCACTGATCAACCAACGGAACTGGGAAGGAGATTTTTAAGAATCTATGTATTCAAATGATTGAATGAAAAAGGAGATATGGCTATATAGCAATATATCATATGTAATAGGTCGCTAAGTGGCCACTTCTTCTTTCAGCTCCATCAAGAGCGCCACAACTGGTCGTAGGCAGAAACACAAGCTCATCAAGTATTCATCTTCAGTGGACGACGATCGATCCTCAGTACCACCAGGGCGCTCTGCTTGGATATCGTCTTTACTATCATCCTGCAGAAACCAAAAGAAAAGTACAAATGATTGAAATACCTGATCCAACTATTCTTGAATATGATCTCACTGATCTCTTCTGGTGGTGGAAGTATGATATACATATCGCTGGCTATACCAGGATGGGCACTGGAGTCACATTAAATATTTCTGTTCAGACAGATGAAGAAAGTAAGTTGTTTGTTGTTGGGGGGTTTTTGGGGAGAGGGGGTTATTGATTCTTTCTCTCATCCATATATATTTCGAAATCAGAAGGATGCGCAAAAATAATAAGTAGTGATAGACTGATTGTGCCACAGTCGGAAATTGTCGATTACCGATTATTCATGCGACAATCTCAAATCATTAATAATTCATGAGTAAATTAGCCAACCATATTGCTTTATTTTGCTCACATGATAATACTGGATACCTAGTGAAGTATACTGATCCCGTCCTAGGACTAGATCAAAATGAATTCAGTCCTTGGACTGGATCAAAATGAATTCAGTCCTTGGACTGGATCAAAATGAATTCAGTCCTTGGACTGGATCAAAATGAATTCAGTCCTTGGACTGGATCAAAATGAATTCAGTCCTTGGACTAGATCAAAATGAATTCAGTTCTTGGACTGGATCAAAATGAATTCAGTCCTTGGACTAGATCAAAATGAATTCAGTCCTTGGACTAGATCAAAATGAATTCAGTCCTTGGACTGGATCAAAATTAATTCAGTCCTTGGACTGGATCAAAATGAATTCAGTTCTTGGACTGGATCAAAATGAATTCAGTCCTTGGACTGGATCAAAATGAATTCAGTCCTTGGACTGGATCAAAATGAATTCAGTCCTTGGACTAGATCAAAATGAATTCAGTCCTTGGACTGGATCAAAATGAATTCAGTCCTTGGACTAGATCAAAATGAATTCAGTCCTTGGACTGGATCAAAATGAATTCAGTCCTTGGACTGGATCAAAATGAATTCAGTCCTTGGACTAGATCAAAATGAATTCAGTCCTTGGACTAGATCAAAATGAATTCAGTCCTTGGACTGGATCAAAATGAATTCAGTCCTTGGACTAGATCAAAATGAATTCAGTTCTTGGACTGGATCAAAATGAATTCAGTCCTTGGACTAGATCAAAATGAATTCAGTTCTTGGACTGGATCAAAATGAATTCAGTCCTTGGACTGGATCAAAATGAATTCAGTCCTTGGACTAGATCAAAATGAATTCAGTTCTTGGACTAGATCAAAATGAATTCAGTCCTTGGACTGGATCAAAATGAATTCAGTCCTTGGACTAGATCAAAATGAATTCAGTCCTTGGACTAGATCAAAATGAATTCAGTCCTTGGACTGGATCAAAATGAATTCAGTTCTTGGACTGGATCAAAATGAATTCAGTCCTAGGACTGGATCAAAATGAATTCAGTCCTTGAACTGGATCAAAATGAATTCAGTTCTTGGACTGGATCAAAATGAATTCAGTCCTTGGACTGGATCAAAATGAATTCAGTCCTTGGACTAGATCAAAATGAATTCAGTTCTTGGACTGGATCAAAATGAATTCAGTCCTTGGACTAGATCAAAATGAATTCAGTTCTTGGACTAGATCAAAATGAATTCAGTTCTTGGACTGGATCAAAATGAATTCAGTCCTTGGACTGGATCAAAATGAATTCAGTTCTTGGACTGGATCAAAATGAATTCAGTCCTTGGACTAGATCAAAATGAATTCAGTCCTTGGACTAGATCAAAATGAATTCAGTCCTTGGACTGGATCAAAATGAATTCAGTCCTTGGACTAGATCAAAATGAATTCAGTTCTTGGACTGGATCAAAATGAATTCAGTCCTTGGACTGGATCAAAATGAATTCAGTTCTTGGACTAGATCAAAATGAATTCAGTCCTTGGACTGGATCAAAATGAATTCAGTCCTTGGACTGGATCAAAATGAATTCAGTCCTTGGACTGGATCAAAATGAATTCAGTCCTTGAACTGGATCAAAATGAATTCAGTCCTTGGACTAGATCAAAATGAATTCAGTCCTTGGACTAGATCAAAATTAATCCACCTCACTTTAACTAGTGATTTATTCGTATGAGATGTCATTTCGAATCCTCCAATTCGGACTGAATAGATTTCAAATCCTCGCATTTGATCCAGTCCTTGGCTTCGCCTCGGACTTAAGGTTACAGAACACCTTTGAGTGTTAATTTTGCCTAAATTTTTTTTATTGGTTTACATGAAAGCATTAGACTAGTTCTACTATCTGACCAAGTTTGGACGAAAAATGTTGAAAGAGTTATTTAATAAAATACATTTCGCTTGCAATAAGAAAAACATTGAAAATGTAATATTCAAATTCAATTTTCTCCCGAAGAATTTTACGGCAATTACTGATTTTTAAACTAGTTGTGCTCCTGCGGGGTTTAACCAATTTTTCTCGAATTTTCATAGGACATAGCTAAAGATGTCAGTTTCAAAATTGTGTTCGGCTTTGTTCTAATTTTGGATATTTTAATAATAAGGAGCAATTCACACAAACGATTCAGAAATATATTGCAGTCGTCAAAGAAATCGCCATATCAGCGGAATGACGACATAAACAAAAATTTCCGAACACAATTTTTTAGAACAACTATTTTACTGTATAAAAATGATATTTTCATAAATATATCTTAAAACCAGCAGGAACATAACTCAAAAGCGTAAAGGAACCGCGACTTAAGATATTCCTGAATAATTCTTACACTATTTTATTGTTTGTCAATTTTACAACTTTATCATATTTTGCATGCACTGGCTAACATTTGGTAAAAGTTGATGAAAATCGGACTGATTTTGAGCGCGCAGTAGCGATTTTCCGCAAAACGCCAAAAAGGGTGTCCTGTAACCTTAATCAAATCGCGCGGACTTTATAACAAACGTACTTGCAGGGAGGTGAGTCCGGGATTGGACGCACCGAGGGTCGCTGGAAGTTTCCCGAACTTACCGAGCGAAGCGAGGTGAGTTCGGGAAACTTCCAGCCACCCGAGGTGCGTCCAATCCCGGACTCACCGAAGCTGCAAGTACGTTTGGTTTTTATTCCATACACCGAGCCATACACACATTTGTAGCTCTTCGCGATATATTCGTCGTCTCGTCGATGTTTTGTGAACATTTTCCCGGCCAAAAAAATCACTGGGCAAGAAAATACTTCTTTATCTACGTCTAAATTACCTTTACTGCATTATTTCTTTGGTTTTTCTCCAGTCTCAGTATGTTAGTCACCGAAAAAAGTTCTTTAAAGTTTAGGTTTATCGGCTAAATCTTGTCCGCGATATTTGTTATTGTTATTGCAACGTAAGCAGTTTATCAGGTGAGTTCGGGCGAAAAGCAGGTGAGCTCGACAAAAAGCAGGTGAGCTCGACGACAAGCTCACCTGCTCTAGACCAATCAGAAAGCCGCTTTTAACACAGGTATGGGATAAGAAATCTAGTCCAGTCCTCATAGCCGGATTTGATTTGAGACCGATTTTATAATGAAATTAATGTCAGTCGTCCGACTAAAGCTGACGTCATTCATTTGGATTTTTTAATGATAATTTCCAACGTAACATGCTATACTTAAAACAAATTCCGTTACAGGTAAACTACGTAAAGCGTTCCTCTTTGTTTGCAAAGTTAGGCATCGAGGTGTACCAGAAAGCTAAAACAGTAAAAATTAGAAAATCTGGACTGGGAAGATATTTTAAAGAAAAGAGAAAGCACAATATGATGTTCAAAGCTTTAACTGTCAGACTAACTCTATATCTTCAATTACATTTATTCACCAAATGTGAAAACTGTAATTCTTCTTAAAGGAGTAAGTATAGGTAATAGGGCGGTTTCGAGTGCTGTTTGGATAAAACATGCACGAGTGAGTTTTTCAAAGAGCATCAAAAAGACTCTGAATGCATTATGTCCAATGCACGCAAGCATGCTCATGCTAATGTCGGATTACCTACAACATGAAGTACATGAAGTTTATATTGAACTTTTCTGCAAAATTGAAGACATTATCTGGTAATGTTTTTTATAAGTATTTTTTTTAATTACCATGTAGTTTCTCAAAAAAAATTTTTGTTTGCTTTTAGTTCCAAGTCGTTACCCAGAGAATATTCGTGGCGTTGCCTTGACAACGACAAGTATGTCGTTCGAATGGGATCGAATTCTTCCAGGTTTTGTTCACGGCATTCTAATTGAATACAATCTAACCGTCCGTGAAACAGACAATTTCGATAATGTGATTGTATCGAGTAAAATTCGTCATCCTGAAAGATCTTACTACGTCGAAGGTTTAAAGAAGTACACCAACTATACGATGTGGGTGAGCGCTATCAACAGCAAGGGAGAAGGACCGGTTTACCCTCCTGGACGTATTAATTCCACTGGAGAAGACGGTAAGAACTGTTTTTATTTATTTATTTATTTTTATTCAACTTCGCCAGGTAAAATTACACAAATGACATGCATACAATCAAATGCAATACTAGTGACGGATGGCGGGGATACCGCTACAGTAAAAAAACAATTACTGTGGGCACTTCTAACATATAAATTACATACAAAAATACCTAGAAACAACAGTTGATATCATTGTTCAAACTTCGACAAGAGTTGCAATTTAAACATACAGATCTCCATATTCTTGGGTCACTGCATCAAAACAATAATACTTTCGTAACAAACTCTTAAATGTACTTAAACATATATTAGCGTGTCTTAAGTCTGTTGGAAGACAATTCCAAACTGTCGTGACGAGGATAATATACGATCGCTGGAATGTACTATCCTGCGTAAAAATGAGCAACTTTCACAAAACAACTGTATTTCATGAATAAAAATAATTGATGTAAATTATTTTAACAATAAAAGAACAAAAGAACCTACTATAAAAAGTGTTTCAGCAGCATTTCCTGTTGCCTGTTTCTGGCTCTATTTTGCGCATTTATGGCCGTAGTTGGTCATCAATTTTTCACTTGTTAATTGCCCCCGGCGGGACACATTACATTTATCTAAATCCACGCAACCACGACGCAGCCAATCACGTTTAGTTTAAAATGCTAGCTAAAAAGTGTAATTATTGCATTTTTTTTTCTCCAGGTCCCGAGTTTCCACCAGACGACATCACAGCTTCAACACTCGAACATATTTCTGAGATAAAGTTGGAATGGACAAGAATACCTCCGGAACATCATAACGGTATTCTTCGTGGCTATTACGTTGAATACACTGCGACAGTTTTGGCTGGCGAAGTTGTGCCTACTGATAAACGTGTTGTTCAGTCGAAAAGAATACGGGGAAATCGTTATGCGACAGTTCTGACAGATCTTGATCCTGGGTCGACGTATGAGATTAAAATCTTCGGCTACACTATTAAGAATGGCACCAAAAGCAATATAACAGTTGCTGGTATGTAAATACCTTGCTATTATAGTCGCTGGGGCTGAAGTTTTCGCCTGCCAGACACGAAATGGGGAAACCAGTTACATTACAGTTACATTACAGTTACATTACAGTTACATTACTGAAGCTCATTTAATATGCTAAATCTTAGGGACCAGGGGTGGGCTGGAGTGATTTGGGATGGGCTGGAGTGATTTGGGATGGGCACGGAAAATCTTTGGGCAATTTCGATGGGCCGCCAATTTTTTTGTATGTCCACGGTTGGGTAAGGTTGGGCCACCAAACAAAAACCCATGCATGTCTACTTCATAAAATAAAGATATTAAAAATAAAAGTAAACAAAACTGTCCAAATTATCAAATGCAAATAATGCTATTGAAGCCAGTACTTTGTTTATACAACAACAAGAAGTGGTCGAATCACAGCAAATACAACCAACTGGAGAGCAGCTCAGTATCAATGTGTTGGTCAAGCTTGGTGGAATTATGTATGTCAATACAGTGCCGTGTATATTTTACAATGTTCATACCTGCAAGTGTTTTTATTATAAAAGTGTATTTTCCCAATTTAGATTGGGTGGGTCATGAAACATTTTTTGTATGATTAGATGGGCTTTGAAATTTTTATCTGCATCCTAAGATGGGTCACCGAACTTAATTATTGGCAAAATTTGTGATTTACCTCCAGCCCACCCTAGCAGTTACTTTATGACCAGTACCTTACTCCCATATTTTACTTAGAACGTAGACTAACAATAAGTAAAATATTAAAAAAAAACTGATCCTCGCATTTTGATCCAGTCCATTAAATGGAAAGCGCCCCTGGTGAAGTATATCGATCTAGTCCTAGCACTGGATCAAAATTAATTCAGTCCTTGGATTAGATCGAAATTAATTCAACCACTTTAAATAGTGAGTTATGTCCTCCAATAGACCTTTCCCCTTTTCAGTGAAATTTTGATCTAGACAAGTCTGGACAAAAATTTCATCACAGTTTGAAAGAGCATCACAAAATTAGTAATATTCCGAAGTTTCGTTGCGAAATGTTGTAAAATGCGGATAATATAGCCTTGCGAAGTTTGCCGTTTTTCAGTCATTTTGTATTACAAATGGGAAATCGATGATCAGTTTGATCATCTGATTATCAATTTCCCGTTTGTAATGCAAAATGACTGGAAAACGGCAAACTTCGCAAGGCTGTTTTTATCCGCATTTTACAACATTTCGCAACGAAACGTCGGAATATTACTAATTTTGTGATGAAATTTTTGTCCAGGCATATCTAGATCAAAATTTCACTCATAAGGGGAAATGTCTATTCAGACTGGACTAGATTTCAAGTGAGCGCATTGCGCCGACTTGAAATCTAGTCCAGTCCTCATAGACGGATTTGAAATATTACATCGAGCCACCTTAAAGTGTATAATTTCCGTTGCAGAAACCTGTCGTTGTCCAAAATATTTGCGTTCCAATTGGTGGGTTTTTCCTCCCTATACAAACACGTCCAACCCAGAGTCACCTGGCGGTATCTTCTTTATGGTTGCCCAACAAGTTGTGGACGACATGTGTGGTACTTGTTCAAACGGGCATGGTCAAACCGAGTTTTGTCACGAAGAAGGCTGTGACAAGAAAAGTCGTCGCCGTCGGTCAACTAGCAATCGTTATCAGAAAACCAGTCTGCAAAGTGTTTCGACAAGTGTTGGTGGCAATGTTGAAATCAGTTTTCCAGTTCAAGGCAATAAATATATGACAACCTACGCTGGAGTGTTCCCGTATATTTCTGTTGTAGATGCGCCTGGCTCTGCTTATTTCACAGTCAAGAATGTTCCATCAACCTCCGAAGTTGTTGTCAACGCGTCTTTAGCTTGTTTACCGTTGGTCTTGTTGATGTCCTTCTTCGCTTGGATTGCTGGAATTATCATATGGGTTTTAGTGAGTAATGAAAACGTTTCAAAATTAATAGAACAAACGCAGAATGTCAGGGTGCGATAATTCAATGGTTGTTGCCGCGTACTTGAGCAGGTATAAGCTTAAGACTCAAGGTGTACTTAGTCTTTAAAACGAAGTACATAATGTACAGGTTTCTGAAAGGGATTCCTTCAGTAACCATAATTGTATACACAAGCACTACGATCACTCTAACATTCCTTAGTCCTATCTCATCATATCAGTTCAATCATGTTTAATACCCAGTCATGCTAGACTTGCACATATTCCCACTAAGTTTTGGTCTTGAATAACCTGGGCTTGAACAGATCAAATGGTGTAAGCAGAAAGTTAAGCACGCAGATGAGAAGAGTATCGCGTACCTACGTGGTACGTAGGTACCAGACCGTAATATTGGTACGCGAATTATCGCACAACGACTGAATGTGCTAGAGTCATAAACGAACTCTGACTCCATCACATCTTCATTTGCATTATGTTCTCGGAGTGGTATTCTTTGTATCTTTGTAGTAGCCTCTCTTTTTCGTTCAGCTCCATACAGTATCAATAACATAGTAAAGCAATCTTGCTCAATTTTAAAGTTAATGGTACATTTTGATCTTGGTTGCTTAGGAACGAAAAGAAAACAATGAGCATTTTCCTGAGTCATTTACTAAAGGAGTTCCAGAAGGTTTCTGGTGGGCCTACATTTCAATGACAACTGTAGGGTAAGTAGTTAACTAGTGAAGAACTACTGCTAAACTGTAAATAACATGATTTTGTTGGGTTTCCCAAAAAAGGGTTTTATTGATGTAAATTTCGTGTTTAAATTTTATACATTTATTAGATGATTGCGTTCTACATTTCATAGCAACTTGACAAAATAACAGCATTGTTGTAACTTGTTGATAAGCTTGCAGTCGGTCTGTTGCGAGTATATCTTGTTAATCACTATATATCTCGCCATCGTTCCTTAGATACGGAGATCGCAGTCCAGTTACCATACCCGGTCGTGTGTTTGCCATAGTCTGGATCATGATGGGTCTCGTGATTATCTCCATCGTCACGGGGGGTATTGTGACGTCAATTACGTCGGTCTTGGTTATACAGGAAGATAAAATATATGGAGCACAGGTAAGGCCCTGGCGCACTATGGGAAATGCCCAGCTCACTGAGAAACTTGCCTGAGTGAGATCTACATGTCCTTTATTAACGCATATAAAATTCAATATGTGTTCATATATGAAAAACAAGCCAGCTAGCCCGGTGAGATGAGATCTCATCTTGTGCTAGGTGGGATCTTAGTCAAGTAGGGTAAATTTTCCATATGAAGGCTTTATCCCACCCGACTGGGATGGACATTTTTGGCCCTTGCCAACCTTAGGGAAACATGGATAGAAAACGATTTTTTCTGGTTTGCCCACCTTAGGGAAACATGGCTTTTGGCAACCTTAGGGAAACATGGATAGAAACAATGTTTTCTGGTTTGTCCACCTTAGGGAAACATGGCTGGCCAACCTTAGGGAAACATGGATAGGGAACGATGTTTTCTGGTTTGTCCACCTTAGGGAAATATGACTAGCCAACCTTAGGGAAACATGGATAGGAAACAATGTTTTCTGGTTTGTCCACCTTAGGGAAACATGGCTGGCCAACCTTAGGGAAACATGGATAGGGAACGATGTTTTCTGGTTTGTCCACCTTAGGGAAATATGACTAGCCAACCTTAGGGAAACATGGATAGGAAACAATGTTTTCTGGTTTGTCCACCTTAGGGAAACATGGCTGGCCAACCTTAGGGAAACATGGATAGGGAACGATGTTTTCTGGTTTGTCCACCTTAGGGAAATATGACTAGCCAACCTTAGGGAAACATGGATAGGAAACAATGTTTTCTGGTTTGTCCACCTTAGGGAAACATGGCTGGCCAACCTTAGGGAAACATGGATAGGGAACGATGTTTTCTGGTTTGTCCACCTTAGGGAAATATGACTAGCCAACCTTAGGGAAACATGGATAGGAAACAATGTTTTCTGGTTTGTCCACCTTAGGGAAACATGGCTGGCCAACCTTAGGGAAACATGGATAGGGAACGATGTTTTCTGGTTTGTCCACCTTAGGGAAATATGACTAGCCAACCTTAGGGAAACATGGATAGGAAACAATGTTTTCTGGTTTGTCCACCTTAGGGAAACATGGCTGGCCAACCTTAGGGAAACATGGATAGGGAACGATGTTTTCTGGTTTGTCCACCTTAGGGAAATATGGCTGGCCAAACTTAGAGAAACATGGCTAGCCAACCTTAGGGAAACATGGATAGGAAACAATGTTTTCTGGTTTGTCCACCTTAGGGAAACATAGCTGGCCAACCTTAGGGCAACATGGATAGGGAACGATGTTTTCTGGTTTGTCCACCTTAGGGAAATATGGCTGGCCAAACTTAGGGAAACATGGTTAGGAAACAATGTTTCTGGTGTGCCGACCTTCGGGAAAAACATTCACAAGAAACGAAATGCTGTCGTCTTGTGTTCTAATTATATCAATGTTTCATTTAGGTTGGAGCTATTGAGAATTCCGCTGAGTACTCGAGAGCAGTTAGACAGAATGCAGATGGTAAGAATTAACATGATCTTCTTTCAGGGGGGGGTGTGCGCACCCACCCACTCAAACAATATTTTGCAACCCCCCCCCCAGAAGGTTTATCCACCCCACCTCTCTGAATATTCCCCCCACCCCCCGAGTAAAATCTGAAAATCCGTCTATGATTTTCTTACTCTGATAACCGTCGGACGATAACAAGTTGTAACAATTCTGTAGTGCTCAACAACCTTGTAGTAAGTTGTCAGCAAACCCTTCGAGAACTTGTCAACACGCTAGGAACTTGTCCTTATATGCTATATCTTAGCAGTGCGAACTTATCCTGTTGACAAGCAGCATTGCCACAAGTCTGCTGCAGGTTTGTTACAACTTGTGCGTTTTTACGCGTGTAGGCTGTCACCCTGTATTAAGCGGTCATTTGCGGAATCCCGGAGGAAGACCGCTTAATACAAGTTCGACTGTATTTGGTAACTCAGTTTAAAATATACATTTCCAACTTTAGTTGTTCCGTTCAATAATATGGAAGAATTGATCGCTGCGATGCACAATAAGGAGGTCGCAGGAGCTTTACTGGACATGTATGCAGCCGCGACGAAGAAAAGCATGTTCGATGGAGGAGATATTCAGTTGAATCGTTTGATAGAGTACCCAACGGGTTATGGTTTTGTCTTGTCAGGAAACATGGCTAAGGCTGCTCCTTTGTTTCGCGAGGCTCTCGCTTTAAAGAAGACGCAAATTTCTCGCATTGTTGAAGAGAATACGGACTCTATTTCGCAGGTTAGTGTCATGCTGATATTTAACCATAATAGTTATGCAAAGTTTGATGTAAATTTGTTTGCGCTGCATATTACGAAAGCTGAATTGAACGTAAAAAATTCTTTAAAAATATTTACTTTTAATATAATAGTTTTGTTTGTGGAAACACCACGTAAATTTATTACTGCAAAGCTTTCGATCCGTAAGCCCGGATCTTCATCAGCGCTAATAATATATGACTTGTTCAATTCACGCGCCCTTTTTTATATACAAAAGTGTCGTGATCTGTTGGCTCGCGTCAATATTTACTTTACAGTTTTCACGATTCTTTCAAATTTGACAATAACAAAATTTCGCGTCCCGCCAAGCACCTTTAAGGCAGGGCCAATTTTAAGAATTTTTCAGTAGGACGCACTTCAGAGAATAGGTATGCCATTTTAGTAGTGATTGACCGATAATCGGCATCGGGCCGATTTTTGCCTTATCGGTAGACAATCGGAATTGGTAGAATTATCTATATTTCCGATTGTTGGGAAAATACACACTTTAAAAATTATATGCATTGCACTTGTGTTCTAACGCAATATGTTAAATTAGTGTTTTTGCACAAGTGAACATAACAAATCATACACGTTGATTGGTCAACTTTGACGTAATAAGCTGTTATATTCACCTACAGGTGAATATAACAAAACAGAAATTTTCAAAATGGCGCCTTTCCATTTTGTGGCAGTTTACTGACAAAGAAAATAAGAAACAAAGAAAATAGGAAATAAGCGAAATTAAAATAAATTCAATCCCAAAAAAGGCAAAGGACTTGTGTAAAAATACTAAAACAATTATTCGCCTCAGGCAGGGTGATTATCGGGGAATATTCACCTCGACTTCGTCTCGGCGAATATTCCCCGATAATCACCTCGCCTTCGGCGAATAATTGTTAATTAATGTGTGAAGCGTGCCATTTATTAACGATCTTTGGTTGCAGTAACATGTCACGTTGGAAATTATCGTTAAAAAATCGACATGAAAAAGGTCACCTTTACTCGGTCGACTGATATTATGACGTCATGATATAATCGGTATCAGGTAGATTGTGACATGAATAATCGGCAATTTCCGATTGTCAATCACTACTTTTTACGAAATTTAGAAGTGCACTTCAGAGAATAGGTATGCCATTTTACGAAATTTAGAAATTTGAAAGAACAGTGACCACATTTTACGCCGGTGCAGCGATCCACCTTTTGTAAATTTTGAAATCTGAAGTCTTTGGAAATGCCATTTTCTCTATTTTGGAGAGATTTTATAGAAATTCTGATTGGGATTACTAGGATTGTATTTAAGTTGGGGATGAGAATATAGAAATTGACCCAATCTTGTTGCAACAGGACAGGAACGAGGCGGAAGAAGCGAAAGAAAAATCGTCCGGTTTATTCGATCCTACAGCCGACGCATTTCTAACTTCGTTTAAAGTGACCATCAGTTTGTTAGTCGTGGCAATTTTTGCTGGCTTGGTCTGGCATTTTGGAAGGTATAGGAGAAAAGAGAAATCCAAGCAGGATCAAAAAAATAAATTGGGTGAGTTTATTCATCTTGTGTTGGTGTTGCGCTGTGTCATTGCGTAGAATTCCCAATGTATACAGGGTTCGTAAAAAACTTGAAAATCCTTGAATGTCCTTGAATTTGAAAACAAAAATTCAAGGTCTTGAATGTCCTTGAATTTGTAAAGAAGTACTTGAAAGTTCTTAAATTTTTCTAGCGTTAGTCTTGCTCTGAAATTGTTTGACATTCAAAACGTACTATACAATTACTTCATGGTTTCCGTGTTTGGATGGCCTGATCCAAACACGCGGGAATGTTGCGAGAGTTAAGAAAAGCGAGCGAAATCACGAGCCGAAGGCGAGTGATTTTGCCCGCTTTTCGTAACTCGAGCAACATTCCCAAGTGTTTGGATCAGGCCATCCAAACACGGAAACCATAAAGTAATTGTTTTATAAAATAACAACAGCACGGTAGTCTTCCGTGTTTGGATGGCCTGATCCAAACACGGCTTTCGACCAATCAGAATACGCGTTATATACATGTTATTTTATAAATTTTGTTGAAATGATTTTGCATGTTCTCATATCTGACGAAGCTGTTTGAAACTCTTAATGTTGTGTTTTGAACAATTCAACGTCGGATTTCACTGATTTCTAACCCCTTCTCTTCAGTATTTAGTCCTTGAATTTGCTGATACATGCCTTGAACCTCGCATGTACGAACCCTGTATAGAGCGGTCATTATTTTTAAGCCCAGGCACAGAGTAAATAAGAACGTGGCATCCCTGAAATTAACGAGACCTCTGTACAGGGCCGTACCTAGACGCGATAAGGGTGTATATTCATATATTCATGTTCACATACCGTTAAAACAATCGCTTTCAAAAGAAATCCGTCGGGCAGAACACGAATATATGAATATGCCCCCCCCCCAATTATCGGTCTGGCTACGGCCCTGCCTCTCTACGTTAGCAAGTGCTCAAAAGAGAGGCCGTCACCCGCCTGAAAACATGAAAACATATTGAAATTTAATGTTCCAGGGGGGGGGGGTGAATGCCTCTCTTTAGGGCACTTGCTAAGGACAAGGCCGCCAGATATGCGCAGTAAGAACTACCTTACGTTTTTCTCGCGAAGTGAGACCTCTGTATGATGCTCTGTGGCACATGCATCACTTTATATTCGGTGCTTGAGTTTGTTAATTTCAACCGTACACAGTGAGCTCGATATGTACTGGAGTGAGAACTCGAGTCCAAAAAGTGAAGAATAACACTATGGTTTTATGAACTGATAACTTGGTTAGCGATACGGTCCGTTAGAAAAAAATTAGAATTAGCTGGGAGGAGAATGGTGTAAAAGCTGTTTACGACCTTCAGAGCTATTGGATATCAATGGCCGCTATGTTGGTTTCACTTTTCCCATAGGCCGAATGGCTGAAGTTCTACAATCTTGGACATAACTGGTTGAGACTATTTTCCCCCTATAGAAAATTCGCGTATTTTTATGATAAACTCCATGTTGAATCATGTTGTCATTCTTAAACCCCCGCTCCCCCAACTCAATGTTGAGCTTGTATCATGGTATATTACCAAAAGTTGTTTCGGCGTTGTTCACAACATTGAACTGGGGGGGAGGGGGAGACAAAGTTTGTTTTGTCAATGTTCAATAACTTTGTAATATTAGCTGGAATGGTCTCAAGGGTTTTGTCCAAGATTGTAGCTCCAGGTATATACATGGAGATCACTGTTTCAACATTAGTTCAATCGAGTGCATGAGATGCCCCAAAACCCGGACAAGTACCGTAGCCAGAACGATAATTGGGAAATATTCATATATTCGTGTTCACATACCATAAAAATAATTGATTTCAAAAGAAATTAATAATTTAAAAGCAGAACACGAATATATGAATATATATCGTTCTGGCTACGGCACTGTCCCGGACATTTGCGCATAGAACCTTACCATAATTTCGTTTTACTTTCGCAGAGGAAAGCATCCCTTCATTCCGTGTTTCGGAATATTTAAAATCAGACGGTCGACAAACGTTAGAAGAATTCACAAGATCTTTAGAACAAAAAATTGCATCACTAAAAAACAAACAGATCAGAGAGCGTAAAAACACTTGGCTTTTTAAAACAACGAGGGACAGAATGAGAACAACCACGTCAATACCATTGGACATACGAAAGTCTACTGCTCGCGTCTGTCCTGAAGTAAATACTGGAGAAAACACAGGCTTTGCTGACGATGAACCGCCAACCACGTCACCACGTCAGTCATCCCTTTCGTCATTTTATGATTACCAAAGAAAGAAATCATCTCAGGTTTATCCAATGAAAGACCATTCTTCATCACAAGGTTATCAGAGTCAGGACTCGTTGAAGGAACAGGAAGATTCCATGTAGATTGTAGTGTTCAAGAATACTGAATACCTGACTGGAACTCATTTAACAAAGTGTTTCGCAATTTTAAGCCTCTAGAACTTCATTTTCAGCATTTTGAAATACAACGTTCTGATATACGGGGTGTGCCAAAACAAATGAAATAGACGTGTTTCAGATTCCTACACCGCTAATTGTTAATGGACATCGAAAACTAGACACTATGGTCTATGCAACTTGTCTTGCAATTTTGTTGCAAGGTGTATCATGCCTCGCAATCAACAAGCTTCGCACGAAGTAGAATCAGGTTCTACTTTTTGCAACGATTGTGGCAACGCTGCAACGCATTTTTAGAGCATTACACAGTCTAACATCCCTCTTGCAACAACTCTCGCAATGTTTATACACTAAATGGCTCCTGTTAGCTTTTGACTGTCAATCTGGCGCCAAACGTTAGCACTCACTGTTTTTATACTATTTTTAATAATGATCATTGCAAGTTGCATGGAACATATTGCTTGATGTAACATCCCTTGCGATATAATGCTGAAATGTTTTTTCTTAACATTGCGAGACAAGTTCAGCGCCTTAGTCTATAAGAGATGAATTTTGACACTAAGATTATTACATGTACAATTGATCTTGGAGAACCAATATTATGCCTGTTTAAAATGAAGTCTGGTTCACTCAATCCACCATTGAAAACATGCATCAGTTGTGTTACGTATCAACAGGTTTGATGGCCTCTCAAGACCCATTTCCGCAGAAAGAAAATTTTGTAAATGCGATTGGCCAGACACAAGTTTTCCGTCGGAAAAAATTTGATGTTGATAATTCAATAATATTTTCGGAAAATTTTCTGTCCGTGGAAATTTGTCTTGATATTGGTTCCACTTGATCGGGGACTGACGGACATCTAATAATTTTTACACATGATGATACCATTTTAAATCTCGAAAATACTCCTAAGATTCCATTATTAATGAAAACAATTTTATATATTACCATGTAAGAGCAATGGAGATATCTTTTCATTTAGTATTACTGAATTAATAATAAATTATTGCACATATTAAAATGTATTAGTTACAAAGATGTGTTGGCAGTTTCTTCAGTTTTATGATGTTCTCGTATAGTTTAGTGGTCTATTTACTTTGTGGCAACATCTTAAGAAGATTAAGGATTCAACACTGTCTTAATCTACAGAATCAATTCCAGATTTAAGTATATATTTACAGAACATTTTTCTATCTAGGACTAGGTATTTTTGTATTCATTAGTCGTTTCTTTTTTCTTTAATAGTGCCTAAATTGTTATTTTAAAGCATGCTGGACATTTTCAAGAGTTTAGTGTTGATACAATACTAGTTCTTGGTAATCGATTATATTCTTATTCGAAATTGCTACTTCCGTCTGCACTTAATAGAAGTTTCGTTTTCACAGCGTCCTTTCTTTTATGATCTATTTGCGAGCACAGACAGTGTGAGTAAATCGATTAACGGTACCAAGGCGTCAACTTGCTCAGGTAAATAATCACTTATAGGCTGACCAGAGTTCAGGTGTCCTTCATAAGCCTCGAGCCACAGTCTCCCCTTCATAAAAACCTCGTACAATGTGTCTTGGGCATTCCAGTGCAGAGGGTAGAAATGGCATATAGAAATGCATCCATCTTTAACACCCAACGTGTGAAACTCTGAGTTGTTTTCTGGTAAAGGCTGCCCGTTTTTCTGTAGCAAATTCTTCGGTGACACAATTGTCAATTTTGGACAGGAGTTAGGAAAATCTTCGGGTAGGTTGATAAGTAATGCATAGCTTTTGTTGTTGTTTGTTTCGAATTTGACCTCGACTTTTGTTGAATGTCTAGGCGATATCCATGTCACTCTCTCAGGAAAATATTTATCTAACAGCTCACGTTCAATTTTGAGACGATAAATCTGAGATGGAGACCAAGCAGTGAACATTTTTACCTTACGAAATCAAAACGCTTCAATGACAATGTTTACACCACCCGTTGTGCGTTTTCTTGGAAGAATAAATCATGCTAATGAGTTTCAAGAAAGGAGTAATGTTACTTGGAAATGTGGAATAATTCATTGTTGTGGTAGCTATGGGATAAAACTTGGAATTTTACAAGGAAGATTTTAAAACATGGTTTGTACAAGACTGGAATTAGAGCAAAATTCAAGGACTTTTCAAGGCATTCATCAGGAAATTAAAGGGCTGAAAGGAAGGCATTAGAAATCATTAAAGGGGAAGTCAAGTCCGTAATGTAAACAAACGGTTTGTTTACATTTTGAACTGCTGTATTTTTTTAAATATTATGTACTGTCTGAATATCTAACACCATTTTGGTTCGCTATGCTTCTAAATGAATATGAAATAGAGTTTATGTTCAGAAAAATTCGAAATATTCTAAATTTGGGCAATGTTGATCACATTAGAGGTCCTCACATTATGAGCAGAACCGATGCGCAGAACGGACTTGACTTCCCCTTTAAAAGTTGAAATTGCAATTTTGTAATAGTGAATCTCAAACAGCTTTTTTGGTCAGTTTTATTAATGTTCTACGCAAAGAATAACAAGGCGACAAATTCAGAAACTAAAGCAAGATGAATTCAAGTGGCCTAGTCCTCTTGCCTTCCACGCGCGGGGAGTTACAAGCTTACCCAGGTTCCAGAGGCTCTTTGCGAGGCGAAAGAAACGAGAGTTTCGCCTCGCAAAGTGCCAAAGAGCCTCTGGAACCAGGGTATTACAAGCTGTGATATCCACTGGTTTCCCAGTGCATAGCTTGTCAAAATAGCACCCTAAAACAGTAAGGCGGTAGCGAAAAGGGCAAAAGCACGGAATAAATAAAAGGCCGATAAGTATCAGGTTGAAGAATTTAGAATTCAAGGACTTTGAAGACTTGAATTTTTGTTTCTAAATTAAATGTCTTTCCAGGGACTTGACGTTTGGACGCGGGCGACATTAAAATTTGAGTTGTATCAAAGGTTTAGTAGCGAATGGTCCTATAAAATTCTCCAATAAATATGCTCCACCCTTGAAATTGATATTTGATTTGCTTGCTTGCAATTCCTGAATTAGTACGTAATTAAGGTGATTCGTCAGTTTTGCATTGCGCATATGTAATAACAAATTCTAGCTAAAGCTAATATATGTAGTCGAACTGCAATGGAAAGTGATAAAGAAAGAGTAAGGGCAAAGAGAAAAACACTCTGCATTGATTGATTATAGGCGTGCTGAAGGAAATATACCTTCAAAAATGACAGAACTCTGGCTAGGGCTCTTGTGCAATAAACACTAAACCACATCATGTTGCATGTTTAACCCTTGCATCTCTTTAAGAAGGTCCGTGACCCCACTTTTATTTTATATTTTTGTTCTTCTAAACGTTTTACATGTCATCAGAAAATAAGAGAAAAATCAAGTCTACAACTATCTTTTTCGCGCATGCTTCCCTGATTGTCTGAGAAGATGGGAAAAGACATCTTTGCATCACGACAATGCACGTCAATGGGTTTTGATTCGCTAAAATACCATGTTTTCTTGTATATAATCACTAGATAGACATTTTTACTAGGATCTTTGTCAAAAAAATTCAATAACGGTTGAGGAATTGCGACTTCCTGTAACTCGTAAAAGGGGCCATATGGGGGGAAAGGTGGCATATCGCACTTGTCATATCTACGAAACGAGTTCGGTGAATAAAATTTATGTGAATGCCATAAGTTTTCAAATGGTTTTTAGAGGATTTACCATCTATAATATCTACCATTAATGGTATTTTCCTGTGCACAGGAAAAATAAAGTACTATTAATGGTAAATATTAAACATGGTTTTTACTAATTTACCATTTGGGAAATCTATAATAATCAATGATGGTAAGAGTTCAGCTTTTACATTCCTGTAATTGTGCCCTAATGCACCCTATTTTACTCTGCCTAATGCCAGACAATTTTACTTGTCAAGGGGAGAGCGGTGGTATTCAATGGGTTAAATGACAATGAAATGGTGACCATTGGTGCCAAATTCAATGAAATCTTACTTGCGGTCCCCACACCTGACTCATACCCAGTCCCTGGATTGAAAATAACCGTGAATGATCAAGGCCCAAATTTCAGGTCAATTTTTCTTCATCGTTCCCATCATGCATCACACTCCGCAGTCAACTGATCTATATATGTACTCATAATGCATACAACTGGGTACAAACCAGGCTGTAGACAGTAAAATAACAAAATGCATCAGGGCACATTGCAGTTTAATGGTTGACAAGAGACTTGTGTTCCATAGTAAATAGCAAAGCAGGTCCAACACAAAATTGATTTGTTGACTTTTATCATGTATAACTTTTTATTTTAACTTTTTATTGTTTTACTGTGAATATAAATTATTTACAGTACGGAGCCTACATTTTTATTCACAAACTTTAAGAAAAGAAAGATAGGTTAAGTAAAAGAAAGACATCAGTTTTATTAAAACCCGTGTACTTTGACTTGGTTTTTCGTAGCGAGGTCGATCTCGATTAAGAAATCATGAATACACTGCCGTTGATCACCTTGCAACTGTATGACCTCACCATGCTCAGCGTGGTCAACCACGGTACCGTTGCAAGAGAAATTCTATAATAATTAGCAAAAATAATTAGTGACATCTTGGTTTATTAATATGGTATCCCCACAGACAAGCTCTGACTACTGAGTTCACATATCGATGATCAACATGATGAGTACACCCATCTCGGGAATGAAATGGCGGGAAAGCCAAGTCAAATTTCCAGGCATACCGATGATCATGTGGGTGACTTCCTCTGACATCAGCAATGAGTGTTCTCATATGCCAGTAATGCCACAAGCACCAACAAGTTGCCGCAGGAGAACTGCCGCAATAACAGAAATTTATTAGTACTACAAAATAGCTAGCCTGCCGCAGGAGATCTCTGGCTAAAGTGGCCTACTTTCCAGTGTGGGCCATGGGCACAGTCGCTGACTAGCATTTAATTTTTCTAATTAAAGCCCCGTTTACACTACGCTCGATTTTTTGGTACCGTACCACTTTTTTGGTTCTGGTCCAAGAACCAAAAAAGTGGTACGGGTACCAATTTTATCCGTGTCGTACCAAAAATTGAGCGTAGTGTATAAAACGGGGCTTAAATATGTTTAACAACAAACCTTTTTGAAATATTTGACAAGTTTTTTCTTATCATATTTGTCCGAAATGCCTTGTACCGTAGTTAGTGTTTTTCGACCATTTCTCTGTTGAATACGGATGTGAATTAACCCTTCCTGCTCGGATTTATCAACTGCGAATGGGTCTAAAAACAATTGCGAGCGAGAAATTTAAATACAAGTTGCCAAAATATATTTTTTCGATACGTTTATTTTGAGAAACACATACATTTATAGAGAAGACGTTTGTTATTAAAAAAATAGAGAAATATATAGTTACCTGCAGAATTAAAGTTTTGAACCGACATACGAAGACAGCAAAATGCGAAAATAAAGTGAAAATTTCGCCAAACTAAACGTTTCCTACAGTTTTCTCGCACGAAGAAGAGAGAGTGTGTTTACAACAAACGCAATTGCTTTGGGATATTTATGGATAAATGATTCTCAACCCTAGTTGAGATTAGGATATTTGTGAATATATTGGGAATGTAAATAAGGATATTTATGAACAACTTAGGGTATATTATGGATATTTGGGGAAGGGAAGGGTGACAATCGCTTACATTATCCATTAATTTATACTCAATCTTACATGACGTAATGGGACTTCGGATGTTTCAAGTTTCAACAGTTCCACACGAGGTTTCAAGAAAGACAATTTTGAACATAAAAGATAAAGTGAAAATACTCTTTATTTGAAGTATCTACTATTCGATCACGCTACCAGAGGTTAAGATGGCTAGTCCAGAGAAAAATACAGCACTTGAAAAGAAAATCGCCAAACAAATTGAGGTATATTGACAAAATTTTGTGGTGTGCATAGACTAATATACTTAGTTAATATTTAATACAAGTGAATGTTGGTTATCACTGAATAGAATTGCTTCACCAATAATATAAAATGGTTGTTATCTTAGCATTAAACAATTGCAGTGTGAAGGATATGCAACTACCCTGAAAAATATAAGCAGAACGGAAGCAAAGGCCACAAAAGGCCTGGGCCTTCACTCAAAATATTGATTGAAAATCTGCTTACTAAGCCTTTTTTAGGTTGTCACATATCCTTCACACCGTGTCTACCTACACTGGTGCCATCTGTTCAAGATGTTGTTATCTTAGAGTTGTCTTATATGCAGTTTGAATTAAAGTTGGGTGGTATTGCAATGTTGGATTGGGCAACTAAATTCCAGTGGGTTATCGGGTAGTCAATTTATCCTGGGCGTTCTGTGACCCCCGTCCACGATCATATCAGATCATGTCAGTGGCATCGAGTAAATTACTTACATAACATCGCCCAAATTTCAAAGGTTTTACTCAAAATTCCAAAGGAATTTTATTGCTGAATATTTTTTATTTACAACTTTATAAATGGATATCAGCTTTCCCCGACTTTACAAAGTGGAAATATTTTCAGATGCATGGGCTATTATTAGAATATTTACCATCAAAGAACAAATATGATTGGTTTATAGTTTATTTTGTCTAAACATGCATTCCCATGTACATGCAAATTACATCCTCTGAGAAAATGGGTCGTTCCAGAAAAGATCCATACTCCCCCCACGGAGGAAATTTCTGCCGTCCGGAGGGGGAGGGGAGAAAAAATTGTTTCTGATAATAGTAAATGTATTAGGACATCCGAAGGGGGTAGGGGGGTTAACTTCCTATTTCCTCCGTGGGGGTGGTATGGATGTTTTCTGGAATGACCCAATTCACAAACTAACCCCTCTGAAATTTGAGGTCCAATTTGAAGACAGGGAAGTTACTACTGTATGACTAAATTACTATTATTAACAGATATCATGTTAGCAATAATTCCCCCTTATTGGAAATAATTCTCCTTTATTGGGAAAACCTTTTGTGACCTTTAACACTTTATCATGACATTGAGAACAGACAAAGCTAGTGGACGTTATTTGGTTATTGACATAAAATTGTCAAGAAATTCTTCCATATTTGATTCATTTTCCTAAATAAATCCGTAACACAAATTGCCCCTTCTTTCAAAATTTTGATAAATTATTTTTTAGAAATGTTATAATTGTGCTATCACTCGAGGCCATTTTGTAGTTCACACCAATTTCCGTAATTCGCACGCGAATTCAAATTGTGTTAGTTGAATTAATGCTAAATGTTGAGCCACTGACATAATTCGGGTCGGCACGAAGCTCTAGGGAGATGTTCTGTGATTGGTTGATTGTTACAATGACAAAAGAATAAGCTATAGAATGGATTTTCTAAAGAACGAAGCAAGAACAATATTCCTTTTGTTTATGTAAGCCAATTACGTCTTTTATCATTGTCATAGTCAACCAGTCACAGAACATCTTCCTAGAGCTTCGTGTTTACTGGGGTAATAGACAGGCCCTCTGAGACAGGCCTAGACAGCAAAATCCATGCAAGAGTAAAAATTTTCTGTGTAAGTCAAATATAAAACGGACTTCATATATGTAGATTTCAGAGAACGTATATGGTGCCAGACATTGTGATAAGCTGCAATCTCGGCACAAAACTATCTCGACTTGCAAAACGCTTTTGGAATTTTTAAATAAGTAAATTATATCGTATTCCAGTTTATAAGACGACAAGGTGTAAGAAAAATTCTTGCGATGATATTTTGTTAAACATTTCCCAGCACTGACTGACAGAGTTTGGACTTTGTGCTGTGCAAAACGAGAAAGAGATGTATACATGTCCATTGTAATTTCGATTATTGGCCATCATAGGACAACCTCATGTTGAATTATGAATATTATGTATACTCGGTGTATATGCACGCAAGTATATATACAGCTGTTTCAAAAAAGGTTGTCTTTCAAAAATCTCACACTTTAAACTCTAAGCGCTCAAGGTGTGATGGGTAACTTTTTACTTAAGGCCAAAAACTTGCGAATTTTGCATTGCAAGTATGGCAAGAATATGTACAACTAGCAGTGTAGTAGGATTATTTGCCCAACCAAAAGCCCTAAAAAGAAGTTACCCATCACTCTTTGCGCGCTTAGAGTTTGAGATTTTCGAAGGATAACCTTTTTTGAATTAGCTGTATACGATCTGATAAAATATCAATGACGATTTTGAGACACTACTCTACAATTTATAGATAGTTTAAATTTTGTAAATTCAAGATCAGATTTAGAGAATAACAAATGTGAAATTAAATTTGTGTGAATTAGTATTTTTTCAGATGCCAATTTCATGTTGATTAGAAAATACAACAAACGTTTTAATATTTTTAAAAAGTGTCATGGCCTCTTATACGAACGAATTCGTTTGTGAAGGGGCCATCAATTAGGGAAAGAAGGGACCTGACTAGGATAGGAGGTGGTGTACTGGATTACTGCGAAGTTGTGGGGGAAAAGTCCACCCCTTTTGATTGGTCGGGCAAAATGCAAAAAAGTCGGGCAAATTTCTTTCTTCCGGAGGGGGGGGGGCAGGCCTAAGGGGGGGGGGGTATAGTTTACTGAAGGGGTCAACGTAGGGGCTGAGGCACTTGGCTTCCCAGTTTATATGCTGAAAGGGCCCTGAAAAGGATGGACAAATATTAGGATTTTGGGATCTCACTTGATATGTGTGCTATAATGGAAGGGGAAATGTTAAAAGCATCGAAATTATGTGATTAGATTTTTTCTGGGTCCAACTCTTTGAATTACACGCAAATAAGTTTGACTATTATATGATTACTTTTCTCGTGGGAAAATGGAATATGTCTAAAACGTAATAGCACAGCATGGCTTACGATGTTTTTTTTTATTAAAAATTCACGCATTCATACATACGCAAATGAATTGTTTAATTACACAAACGAATCTCATTCATTGTGTAGATATGTATATTTATTATAGTGTATACATGTAATTGCATATAAGAAATTGGGAATTACTTTCTTGTGCGGATTACTTTTTAATATTTTGTATGTACTGTGGACAATAGGCCAGAAAATGGTGTGAAATTTTGATCAAACAGCATTTGTCATGCATATCTGCTACTGAGTATATGCAATGCGTAATGACGTCGAGCAATTATTAATGTTCATTATTCATTCATTATATAACTGTCTTTTGGATGTACTACAACTCATTTCGTTTGAGTAACCGTGCTACGAATGCTACGAATTAAAACATCACAAAGCACGTCGAAGATTCTAAAGAACATATCTAGCATATAAGGTAATCAATATTATTTATTATGTTTTTTCCAAATACTAGAATATGGTACAATGCAATATATATTTATAAAAGGTCACCAAAGGGCAAATACATGGCGATGACATGGGGCTTTATCATATATAATTTTTCTGATCAATTCTATCATAATCTTGACTTAACATTATGGGCAAACAAGAAGTCAAAATGACTTATATCGTGGTTTTTCCCAAATACTAGAAGATAGTATATTATACAATAAATATTTCTAAAAGGTCACCAAAGGGCGAATACATGGCGATGTAAATGTATCAAAATTCGTAGGCTACAGTTAATCGTCGATTGTCTTATAAATTACGCGCAGCATATCTAAACTATAATATGCGCTTATGAGCTTTTTGAGACGACGTTTAAAATGTGGCAGCTTTTATATTTTATGCATGTGGAATAAAAATTGTCGTATATCGTACTTCTCTTTTATAGTCTATAACCGATAGAGAATTTTGCATCACTCGAATATGCGTTTATAATACGAAAGACCAGAAGACAGTTGTACCAGCTGTTCTGTTAAATTGTATATATATAAAATTATTACTACAAAATACGCGATTTTAGCACTAACAATAGTGAACTAAAATTTACACAGGTAACTATACCTTTTTATATAACCAGATCTAATGGATTTACGAACATAACATATAGAATAACTGTCTTGACAACTGGTATAAATAATAGTTTACATCCGTTATTATATAATCAATACTTTTATCAAGAATGAATCTATTTATCGGTTCTATATTGACATAGCCGTATCGATGTGAGATCGGTAAAATCTCAAACATTTAAAAAAATATCTTAAAACCTAAAAAGCCCCAGAAATTACCAGAATTCAAAAACAAATTAAAAATTCAAAGTTGCATGATTTCTAGATAAAATGCATAAAATGTTTACAAAATCTTGAAGTAAAATGGAAAAATTTAAAGCAAATCACTATCCCATATAGCCTGCGCGCAGTCCCAAACTCCCAAAGTCTGAGACTGCGCGCAGGCTATATCCCCGCGTTTTCCGTTTTTCAACTCGTATCTAAGAGATTATTTCCTGTCCAGGGAAGCTTATAGCCGCTTTTGTATAAATTAGTAATTAGTTTGCAGGTAGGAGGATATATTAATTGGAAAGCAAATTACACGAATATTTTTTTTCAAAAACTGCTTATCCGAAGTGACGAGAATTCAATTTACAGCTTATTGAAAATGATTCATAAGGTTCTGACACAATTAAAGTGATGTAGATTTCAAATCAGATAAGATATATATAGACCTAATTAACACATTTATATATACAACTGTATAAATGTACTTATACAACATCTGCGGCCAGATTAATATTACAAACGTGGATGCAGTCCAGGTAGGTATTCTAAAAAACTGCCGTGGTTTTAGTCTGAACTGCCTGCGGAAAAAAACGATCACATGTAAACCTGAAGGTTTAATGTAGGTATAGAGTATTCTCCAAAGTAAAAGGACATGGAAAATTTCTTTTGTATCAATGTTATTATAGCATGCATGTATATTTACTTTTTTTGCAGGTAACCAAAAATAATTTGCAGTTAGCCCTGCGGCTGCGAGCGAAGTGAACAGCCGGAGTAGGTTTTGGACCGCGTATAGCCTTGAGACTTGCCACTGGGGGAAACGTTTTGATCAATTGGGCGTGAGAAAGTCAATTTTGGCAATAGGAAATATAACTCAGAGCTGTTAAGGTTTAAGATTTTTTATAAATGAAATTTGACCACAGAACAGAAAAATAGTCAGACCACACAATGTTTGAAAGAACATTCTAATGTTCTGGAAAAAAGACACCTATTTTACACCCGTTTTCAAAATTACGCGACCAGGCCGAAAATAGAGTTTATGTCATAGGGTCACGAAGTTTAAATTGTTTCCAACTTTGAGTTTTACGGTTCGTTATCGATTTATATGCTTTGTATGCTTTATATAAAAAGGTTTAGAAGGATTTCAATATGTTTGATGCGAAACCAAGATTATTCATACTGAAAACCATAGACATTCTCCGGTTATAATATTTATTTTTTCAAGATATTTTAGTGATAATTATTGCAAAATTTAAGCACAGCAAAATCATATTACCGCTATAGTCTAGCGCAAGTGGGTTTAATACACAGTTAAATTCTAGGTTAAATTGTTCCTACATCTGACACTCATGATCACTAGTTCCACGCTAGTGCTCAGGAAATAGAGAAATACGTTGGGGTGGAAAAAAGGCTTCGATTTCTTCAGGTAGTTCAGACGGAAACAACGGCAACTTATGCTAGATGTTGTTTACAATCAAAATAGTTAAAAGAAAATCTATTCACAAATATTTCTCTAATTCATAGACAATAAATAAACAGTTCACCACCAAAGATCAAAGCAACCGTCAGTGAAATAAGTTCACACGCATGAAGGATTCGGGTCGTTCGTCCGGCATGCCAGAACCCCTACCGGACTGGAAGGAAGGAGCCGTGGTTTGGAAATGGGCGTTACCGGTACACAGTTATATCTTTGGGATAACCTTCTTTGCTGTTGCCATGTACGGGGTCTACAATCTTGGCAAACTATGGCAAACTCAAATGAGAAAATCTAGAAATTACTTCATTTGTATCACATTGTTGGTTTGTCTGTTTGGTCTAAGCCGAGCCATAGTGTTGCTAGCCGATCCGTACTCCACGGGTAGACCTCTTCAGCTAACGCCAGGATACGGGCTGCTGTTGTTCTCCTTGGGTTACCCTTGCCTGACATCCGGGTTCTTTCTCATGAACTGGTCGTTGGTAGAGGTTACCAAGCTGCAGTTGCTACCGTCGGCCATCCACAAGCGTAAAGTACTGGCATTTGTTTTGCTCGTGCATTTTGTCGTCGTCGTTACATTCGATACGATTTTTGTGTTCTTCCCGAGTACACATATACTGCTGTTCATCTGCCGTTCATTCTTCGTGCTTTGGGGAATTTTGCTGTTCGGTGGTTTCATCATAGCTGCCCGACGTATCCGGCAACAGGTCAAACAGACGCTGATAACTATTACTCAAATCGAGAGTACGAGCGGAAATAATAACACCGTCGATTCGAGCACGGAAAATAATACCAGCCACGCCATCACCATAGCAACAGCTGACGACAACAACAGGTTCCAGCAAGCTCGTACCAGGAAAGTGATGAAGATCTCGCGACGTGCTGCGGCCACAGGTCTCCTAATCTGTTGCACGCAGACGTATGCACTCTGGGAGTTTTATGTGTTTTACAACGATGACGTCATTCCTAAAGCCTGGCCTTGGTGGATATATCAGACAATTTTTCGCTGCATTGAAGTGTTCATGGTCAGTCAAATGTTTCTGATCATTCAACCGAGAAAGTAAATTGGCATCATACCATTATACCATAAGTCCTATTTTTCTTCTCGACATGAAATGCTGTTCGCTAGATAATCCTACTTATTTTGCCCTCTCGCGTTTCATGATGTGTTGAACACAAATGAACAACACTATTTCCTAAATTAGTTTCCAGCTAAAACTTAAAATTTTCCAGAGCATTTAGTATACAGAATGTGAAATACCTATACAGTTCATTTTCATTCCGGGGACTTCTCCATGATCGCTCTAAAATGGAAAATAAAGAGATCGTGTAACAGGGATGGTACAGCAGTTAAAAAGAACAAAACAATAGACACTCCGTTAACATTTTAATCAACGTTTCGACTAGGTTTCAGTCATCATCAGGAATGACGCTATTGAAAAATACTGAGATTATATATTTACAAGTTAAGCGGATCAAATTACGCTCTAATTAAAGATCACAAGTTCCTTAGAGGCTTTAGTTCCGTGATTAAGTTCCGGGTTTTGGCGATGTATATGTAAAGACTCTTTATATAACAAAAATGACCAATGTCTATAGATTTATCTATAATAGTACAGTTTTGGTATATGATGGCTTCTGTGGTAGGGTAGGTTAAGTAGGGTCTGGAAGTATTGAAAATGTTCACATGACATAATAATTTGATCCGCTTAACTTGTAAATGTATATCTTAGTATTTTTCAACAGCGTCAGCCTTTTTAAAATTACTCAATGGCAACCGTAATTTCACAGCAGTTAACGTATGGGACTTACAGGACTGTCACAGGGCTGGAGAAACTATCGGACCGTAGGACCAATGGACCATTGGTCCCAGAAATATTTCTGAGTTCCTCGAAAGTATTTCCCAAGAAAGAAAAAAAGAATTCAGATAAAAGGAGATATTCAGACGAAAAATTCTAACCAATAGGAAGAATGTTACCTGTACTGTAGGTATGACCTCAGAAATGCAATTATAAGTGTATTACGTGTTTATTGTAGCATAACGTTTATGGGACATCTGATTTTTAAAGTATTCTGGGAGAGCATGGATCCCCCTGATAAGGGCCCTTATAACGGTACCCCTTTTTGGCATCTGTATTTAAAATTAGTGTTATGGTATATTCCTAAAAAGTATTATTAAGATTCTCAGTGCACTGAATTATTTTTGTTCAATTAAAATATAGCATGAGATTCAGTTTGACAACTTGTTTGTGTCACACAGTTACAGTGTCCGAGTGTCCATTTACTCATTTACTGGGGGGAGGGGGGGGGGCAGGAGGGACAGCCGCCTCCGTTGCCTTTTACCAGGAGGGGCAAGGGGGGCAAAGGTGCCCTTTCAATTTAAAGGATTGCCTTGGCAAAGTAGCGAATTGTCAGAAATGTTAGTGCGATTCGTTTACGAATTTGCTTCAGAAAACGCAAGAAATGCAGTCATCGAGCTTCAAGAATAGCACAATCGCCTGGCGGAGAACCCCCTCACACCCCTATCATCCAATAAATAGAAAACATGATTAGGCGAAGTTCAACTCCCGATGTTTTGCAAACATCTCTTAGTATATATCAATTCAAAAGTGCCCTTTCACGAAAATCTGCCCCCCTTGCCTTCACATCGTTCCGGCGTCCCTGCATTTACTTGAATATTTGCAGGACATTTTCAATGTTCTCTTGCGACCCCAGAAAGTAACTTTTTTTCCATTTCTGTAACTGAGTTCTTGCAAATAAGCAACATGTAATATGTCTGATTATAATTTCACCTCGGTCGCACGGGTGGGAAAATAACAATAATAATAATAAAAATAATACTGAACCTCTGTGAAAGTAATTTAGAACTGATAAAGTATCCAGTATAAATTTTAGCTTTTTAGCTTGTCAGTGAGTTTACGAAATAAAGATAATAATATGTACTTACGTAAGTTTAGTTAATTTTTCATCAATGCTTTCCAAAGGATCCATTTCCTTGCCTTTTCTTACAACTTTTCGCATAATTTCTCTGAAGGGGGAGAGAATAATATGACATTAATTTCTCGGCAATAGACCCCATGCACCGGAAAGCACTTGGCCTTTGCCTCGTTTTCGGGATGAGATATCGGCTTTGGAGCCCTTCATTACTTTACGGATAATTATGTAACGGTATTTTATATTGTCATCTCAGTCTCATTAATAATTCATGAATAAATTAACCAACCATATTGCTTTAATTTGCTCACATGATAATAAAGGGTTATTAACCGAGAGCGAGGTCTGTACGGGAAAGTATTTGCCTGAGGTTTTCGTACAGACCTAGCGACGAAGGAGCGAGGTCTGTGCGGATAAACCGAAGGCAAATACTTTCCCGTACAGACCGAACAAAACGAGGTTAATAAACCGTTTATTATATTGGCTCCTTAAACACATTTTTTGATTTTCATATATTTGTTTGAGCGCTATAAAGATATTTTTGAGCTATGTTTTATTTGCTAGTTTTCTTCGTTTAGATTTGGTTTCGTCACCGAATATTGTTTACGGAAAAGCATGTTTAATTAACAATCGCTTTAGAACAACTTTTTCGGTAACCCCCACCCCCAGAAAAAATGCTTATAACCCAGTTTATATGATATTTGTTTAGAACATGGTATTAAAGACGTTAAATTCATCTTTATTTATTTTTTTAAACAAGTAAACAAATCAAAAAGATTTTCCCGCCAAAACTTACGGTTGCCAGTAAGAGTTCAAACGGCTTGTTTTCTTAGCTGTTTCGATGAAATTTGTGTTGGTACAAGTACTTATTAATATTTCCAAGACTTCCTATTCTTAAAAATAATCCAATGATACTTTTTCTTCACATAACGACCTTATAAACGTGTAATTGGCTCTCCTTAAATTTCTCCAATTGGCTCTCCTTAAATTTCTTATTATTATGTGCCCATGCCATCTCAGCCTTGCTTCCCTCACCTTTTATGCAATGTTTACCACAGTGCATATTCTTCTGATATCTTTATTTCATTACATCTCTGACTGAATATCCTTCATCAGTCTCTTCTTAATAGATGTCCATGCCATCTCAACATTGCTTCCCTCACCTTCCCTGCAATGTCTACCACAGTGCATCTTCTTCTGATATCTTTATTTCATTACATCTCTGACTGAATATCCTTCATCAGTCTCTTCTTAATAGATGTCCATAGCATCTCAACATTGCTTCCCTCACCTTCTCTGAAATGTCTACCACAGTGCATCTTCTTCTGATATCTATATTTCATTACATCTCTGACTGAATATCATTCATCAGTCTCTTCTTAATAGATGTCCATGCCATCTCAACCTTGCTTCCCTCACCTTCCCTGCAATGTCTACCACAGTGCATCTTCTTCTGATATAATTATGTCCCTGACTGAATATCCTCCATCCCTTCTTAATTCATGCCCATGCCATCTCAATCTTGCTTTCTTCACGTTTGTTGCAATGTCTACCACCCCACATCTTCTAAACTCTTCCTTCTAAACACTGGCTAATGTCTATGATTGCCTCTCCTTAAATTTCTTATTACATGTCCATATCATGTCAGCTTTGATTCCCTCATACTGCAATGTCTACCACTCCACATCATCTTCTGGTCTCTTCATTTCTCACCTATCCTTCAGCCTAAATATACTGTACTTAACTAACTCTATGTATATTGGATAGCTCTATAAAGATCCCTCTAGAGCTCCAGTAAGGGCACTCCCTTATTGGTGCAGTGTTACTGCAGGAGGAAGCCAAACTACCCAAGGAAAATCTGCAGCATTAGGTAGAGACAAACTGGAATTATTTTGTGACAATTGAATCCTATCCCTGGTCATAGAGGTTTACAGACACGTGCACTAACAATCATACCATCATTTCATATTCTAGATATATTTAGAGAGGTTATTAACGTATGCTGAAATAGATATATATCCTGGAAATTGGAAAAGAATTGTGCTTGGTGCCATACTACTTTCGTCCAAAGTCTGGGATGATCAAGCTGGTAAAATGAAATATCCTTCAATTACAAGAGAATACACGTTTCCGGCCACAGGTCGCGTAAGCATTTCGAAAGTGGAGGGGCATAGGCCAAAAGGGGGCACTTTTTTATATGACCAAAATCAAACGATTTTATGTCGTTCACGAGCCGAAAGAAAATTTTTGACATATAGTCAGTCTTATAGCAGAAACCACATCGTTTTTGCCGAGCTTGCTGTTTGGAAGGTTATTTGAAAAAGCTTCAAGCATTTATTACAGTAATCAAATTCCTTAGCGCTCATTCGTGGACTGAAATTGAGACCGCATTTGCCCCATCGTATTTTCTAAATCTGTCCACATAAAGCTACAATATTTGGACATGAACCTTTCAGCCTTTCCCGCACGTTGTAACCAATAATATATTGGCGCTGTAAAGCCCAATATTGTATGCAATAAAGTACTGCAATAAAGTATAACCCTAACCTAAACGCTAATCCTAACTTTAATCCTAACCCCAAAGCCGATGACCTCTTCTGTTCTTCCGACCGTCTCCCCACCCTGCCTCGACCGACCTCCCTTTTAGGGCCATTACATTTATAACTAAAACTTTTGTCCAATGCTTGTGGTTTTGTCTTCAGTTACGATGCAATACTTTATTGCATACAATGGCTTTACAACGCCAATAGATTATTGGTTACAACGTGCGGAACGGGTGATCTTTTATTATGGCAGTGTGGCTGTAGCTATAAGTATATACTCTCTTATCCTATTTCTAGTTTGGAATGTGGACTATTGTCAAATATTAAAACACATAACAGTTGAAGATATGTAAGTCTAAGATTCAATTTAACAGTAACGCGTAATTGCATGAAAAGCCATTGCACAAATTGCAGACGGGTTAGAATTCATTATAACCCATTATTTTTAGGAATGAATTGGAGAGGTCGTTTCTGGAGTTCTTGCAGTTTAATATCAACGTACCGTCCAGTGTCAACGCCAAATACTACTTCGACCTAAGGTCGCTAGCTGAAGAAAACGAACTGGCTTTTCCCTTGGAACCATTGAGTAGAGAAAGAGCTAAAAAGCTAGAGGTACTGTAAATTGTCCGTGGGTGGATTTTACTAAAGGAGTATAAAGCACTGTCGTGTAGTAGACGATAGTCAACCCATTTTCATTTTTTCTGTATAATTAGTATAGTCTTTTATTTGATAAAACCCACCGAAGAAATTGTTGCAATATTTCTCAAATGATTGCCCAGTTTTGGAAACATTGTTGTAGAACTCTATGGCTAACTGAATATATTGTGTATTAATCACTGTTAAATTATTGTTGTTAGCTGTCTTGTTCAGCCTCATGGTTGTTACAGTTAGCTTGTATACCTACTACTATGTTTCATTCTTTTCTTCTCTTCAATATGTAAATAGCTGGTAATTATGGTACTAATTAACACAATGATGATGATTCTGATTCTGAACTAGCCTGTATTCTTGGGTTTCATGACGGCATTATGCAGTGAATCTGACGGGGGGGGGGGATCAACCTCAAATGTATTGATGTTTATGCAGTACAGGAGTGAGAAAATGATACGAAATTCCATGTATTTGCCACGAAACACAAGACTAATACATAAAACGAACGATTGACTCACTCTGATAACTGTGTTTTGTTTTAGAGTTGACCCCCTCCCCCGTCCCTTTTGTGACGTCATATGAAACCCAAGAATAAGGCTATAGGATTGTTTCTAACTATATTTTTTTTCGTTCCCAGGCGATCTCAAGTATCTGCGACAACATGACAGATCTATCTCTACCAAATTTAAAACGAACTTCAAGTCTTGACGCTTTGACGTCGAAACGATCAAGTATGGCCATACTGTCATGACAGCAACTTCGTACTGCATTCGGGTCATACTCGTAATCGGTCGCCTCCGAAGGCAAGCGAAGAGCCTTGAATCATGGCAAATGGCACGTTATAAGCCGCTTCTACGAACACTGTTGGCATAAGCTTGTTTTTTACTTCAACTTGTACATCGTATCGTATCTTGAAGGGATATGCATATGGTAATAAAAATTCAGATTGTCTCATTTGAAAGAACTTTTAAAATTATATATATGGCAGTCATTTTTACAGCTGCGCGTAGGCCCTACACCCGAAAAGGCGGCGATGTGCCCATAATTAAACTTCGGTCACTATTTTAAGAATGTACCAATTGTTATTTGGTCTAACCCTGCTTTTGACGTCAGCAAAACCACTGTGAATGAGATGAAAAATTTATCCAAGATGGCGGACGGCTCATTGTTTTCAGGCAAAATGTGAAAAGCACGATACGAAAAATCGGTACAGGAATTTTACATATAATTTTAACAGTTCTATCAAATGGGACAAACTTCATTTTTTATTCCATATCCCTTTCTTTTGTATCGAAGAGATTAGTTTCACCCAGGTGGTCAAAAAAGAAATACGTATACCTTTCGATACGAACTGTAGGGTACTGCATGTGTTCAAGTGAAAAACAGCTTTACCTGGTGGGTAAGTTTTACTCGGGCTTGTCCACCGACTCTGCTAGAGGTTATCCTAGAACCGGCCTCGGGAGTTTTAGCACGGGTTTGGTACAAAACGTATGAGGGTATAATGTGGTTGAATACACGACGCTTGAATCTGGTATGCAGTGGAGATGGTATTAAATTGTAATGTGTGAACAAAACATAAGTCGTTACAATGTTGGTGTATACAGCCAATGGTTGTCCTCTCACAAATTCTCTAATGGTCAAAACCCTTGGCCAATATGGTCGGCACGAAGCTCTAGGGAGATGTTCTGTGATTGGTTGATTGTTACAATGACAAAAGAATAAGCTATAGAATGGATTTTCTAAAGAACGAAGCAAGAACAATATTCCTTTTGTTTATGTAAGCCAATTACGTCTTTTATCATTGTCATAGTCAACCAGTCACAGAACATCTTCCTAGAGCTTCGTGTTTACTGGGGTAATAGACAGGCCCTCTGAGACAGGCCTAGACAGCAAAATCCATGCAAGAGTAAAAATTTTCTGTGTAAGTCAAATATAAAACGGACTTCATATATGTAGATTTCAGAGAACGTATATGGTGCCAGACATTGTGATAAGCTGCAATCTCGGCACAAAACTATCTCGACTTGCAAAACGCTTTTGGAATTTTTAAATAAGTAAATTATATCGTATTCCAGTTTATAAGACGACAAGGTGTAAGAAAAATTCTTGCGATGATATTTTGTTAAACATTTCCCAGCACTGACTGACAGAGTTTGGACTTTGTGCTGTGCAAAACGAGAAAGAGATGTATACATGTCCATTGTAATTTCGATTATTGGCCATCATAGGACAACCTCATGTTGAATTATGAATATTATGTATACTCGGTGTATATGCACGCAAGTATATATACAGCTGTTTCAAAAAAGGTTGTCTTTCAAAAATCTCACACTTTAAACTCTAAGCGCTCAAGGTGTGATGGGTAACTTTTTACTTAAGGCCAAAAACTTGCGAATTTTGCATTGCAAGTATGGCAAGAATATGTACAACTAGCAGTGTAGTAGGATTATTTGCCCAACCAAAAGCCCTAAAAAGAAGTTACCCATCACTCTTTGCGCGCTTAGAGTTTGAGATTTTCGAAGGATAACCTTTTTTGAATTAGCTGTATACGATCTGATAAAATATCAATGACGATTTTGAGACACTACTCTACAATTTATAGATAGTTTAAATTTTGTAAATTCAAGATCAGATTTAGAGAATAACAAATGTGAAATTAAATTTGTGTGAATTAGTATTTTTTCAGATGCCAATTTCATGTTGATTAGAAAATACAACAAACGTTTTAATATTTTTAAAAAGTGTCATGGCCTCTTATACGAACGAATTCGTTTGTGAAGGGGCCATCAATTAGGGAAAGAAGGGACCTGACTAGGATAGGAGGTGGTGTACTGGATTACTGCGAAGTTGTGGGGGAAAAGTCCACCCCTTTTGATTGGTCGGGCAAAATGCAAAAAAGTCGGGCAAATTTCTTTCTTCCGGAGGGGGGGGGGCAGGCCTAAGGGGGGGGGGGTATAGTTTACTGAAGGGGTCAACGTAGGGGCTGAGGCACTTGGCTCCCAGTTTATATGCTGAAAGGGCCCTGAAAAGGATGGACAAATATTAGGATTTTGGGATCTCACTTGATATGTGTGCTATAATAGAAGGGGAAATGTTAAAAGCATCGAAATTATGTGATTAGATTTTTTCTGGGTCCAACTCTTTGAATTACACGCAAATAAGTATTGACTATTATGATTACTTTTCTCGTGGGAAAATGGAATATGTCTAAAACGTAATAGCACAGCATGGCTTACGATGAGTTTTTATTAAAAATTCACGCATTCATACATACGCAAATGAATTGTTTAATTACACAAACGAATCTCATTCATTGTGTAGATATGTATATTTATTATAGTGTATACATGTAATTGCATATAAGAAATTGGGAATTACTTTCTTGTGCGGATTACTTTTTAATATTTTGTATGTACTGTGGACAATAGGCCAGAAAATGGTGTGAAATTTTGATCAAACAGCATTTGTCATATCTGCTACTGAGTATATGCAATGCGTAATGACGTCGAGCAATTATTAATGTTCATTATTCATTCATTATATAACTGTCTTTTGGATGTACTACAACTCATTTCGTTTGAGTAAGCGTGACGATCGTCAATTAAAGAAGGCTACGAATTAAAACATCACAAAGCACGTCGAAGATTCTAAAGAACATATCTAGCATATAAGGTAATCAATATTATTTATTATGTTTTTTCCAAATACTAGAATATGGTACAATGCAATATATATTTATAAAAGGTCACCAAAGGGCAAATACATGGCGATGACATGGGGCTTTATCATATATAATTTTTCTGATCAATTCTATCAAAATCCGTAGGCTACATGCAGTTAATCGTCGATTTTCTTATAAATTACGCGCAGTAATCTAAAGTATAATATGCGCTTATGAGATTTTTGAGACGAGGTTTAAAATGTGGCAGCTTTTATATTTTATGCATGTGGAATAAAAATTGTCGTACATGTTTTGTCGGTTAACTTCGTAAATCGTACTTCTCTTTTATAGTCTATAACCGATAGAGAATTTTGCATCACTCGAATATGCGCTTATAATACGAAAGACCAGAAGACAGTTGTACCAGCTGTTCTGTTAAATTGTATATATATAAAATTATTACAAAATACGCGATTTTAGCACTAACAATAGTGAATTTTACACAGGTAACTATACCTTTTTATACAACCAGATCTAATGGATTTACGAACATAACATATAGAATAACTGTCTTGACAACTGGTATAAATAATAGTTTACATCCGTTATTATATAATCAATACTTTTATTAAGAATGAATCTATTTATCGGTTCTCTATTGACATAGCTATATCGACGTGAGATCAATATTTTCAATCAATGATGATATTGGTAAAATCTCAAACATTTAAAAAAATATCTTAAAACCTAAAAAGCCCCAGAAATGACCAAAATTCAAAAACAAATTAAAAATTCAAAGTTGCATAATTTCTAGATAAAAAAAATACATAAAATGTTTACAAAATCTTAAAGTAAAATGGAAAAATTTAAAGCAAATCACTATCCCATATAGCCTGCGCGCAGTCCCAAACTCCCAAAGTCTGAGACTGCGCGCAGGCTATATCCCATACCGCGTTTTCCGTTTTTCAACTCGTATCTAAGAGATTATTTCCTGTCCAAGGGCAAGGAAGCTTATAGCCGCTTTTGTATAAATTAGTAATTAGTTTGCAGGTAGGCGGATATATTAATTGGAAAGCAAATTACACGAATATTTTTTTCAAAAACTGCTTATCCGAAGTGACGAGAATTCAATTTACAGCTTATTGAGAATGATTCATAAGGTTTTGACACAATTAAAGTGATGTAGATTTCAAATGAGATAAGATATATATAGACCTAATCAACACATTTATATATACACTGTATAAATGTACTTATACAACATCTGCGGCCAGATTAATATTACAAACGTGGATGCAGTCCAGGTAGGTATTCTAAAAAACTGCCGTGGTTTTTGTCTGAACTGCCTGCAGAAAAAAACGATCACATACAAACCTGAATGTTTAATGTAGGTATAGAGTATTCTCCAAAGTAAAAGGACATGGAAAATTTCTTTTGTATCAATGTTATTATAGCATGCATGTATATTTACTTTTTTTGCAGGTAACCAAAAATAATTTGCAGTTAGCCCTGCGAGCGAAGTGAACAGCCGGAGTAGGTTTTGGACCGCGTAGCTTGAGACTTGCCACTGGGGGAAACGTTTTGATCAATTGGGCGTGAGAAAGTCAATTTTGGCAATAGGAAATATAACTCAGAGCTGTTAAGGTTTAAGATTTTTTATAAATGAAATTTGACCACAGAACAGGAAAATAGTCAGACCACACAATGTTTGAAAGAACATTCTAATGTTCTGGAGAAAAGACACCTTTTTTACACCCGTTTTCAAAATTACGCGACCAGGCCGGAAATAGAGTTTATGTCATAGGGTCACGAAGTTTAAATTGTTTCCAACTTTGAGTTTTACGGTTCGTTATCGATTTATATGCTTTGTATGCTTTATATAAAAAGGTTTAGAAGGATTTCAATATGTTTGATGCGAAACCAAGATTATTCATACTGAAAACCATAGACATTCTCCGGTTATAATATTTATTTTTTCAAGATATTTTAGTGATAATTATTGCAAAATTTAAGCACAGCAAAATCATATTACCGCTATAGTCTAGCGCAAGTGGGTTTAATACACAGTTAAATTCTAGGTTAAATTGTTCCTACATCTGACACTCATGATCACTAGTTCCACGCTATAGTGCTCAGGAAATAGAGAAATACGTTGGGGTGGAAAAAAGGCTTCGATTTCTTCAGGTAATTCAGACGGAAACAACGGCAACTTATGCTAGATGTTGTTTACAATCAAAATAGTTAAAAGAAAATCTATTCACAAATATCTCTCTAATTTATAGACAATAAATAAAAAGTTCACCACCAAAGACCAACGCAACCGCCAGTGAAATATTCACACGCATGAAGGATTCGGGTCGTTCGTCCGGCGTGCCAGAACCCCTACCGGACTGGAAGGAAGGAGCCG